CATTTTACGCCGCTAACGGGGGATCGTTGGGCATTATCGGTCAGATTAGGGCGTCCATTTGCATTGGTGATATCAAATTGTCGGGACCCGTTTTCGTTTCATCTTCCCTGGCGGTTCCTTGCCTATTGGGCACTGATTTTTTGGCGAAAATGCCCATCAAAATTCTCATTGATCAGCGTTGCATTGAACTACCATCGGGTCGCCGTATTTCATTTTTGACGAGCCCTAATGTAATTCGGACGGCGTGCGCTACCATTCAGGCGTTAGCAACACAGACCGTGCACGTGCCCCCGGGTTCACAAATGTTGATTCCCCTCCGGTTACGGAAGCCATGGGGGAAGGAGGCCTCGGAACAGGCCATGCTTTTGGGTCCTTCTAATAGGGCTGTTGGAGGTCTCGATTTATCGGTGGCTCACACTTTGGTTGGGGCAGACAGGGATCCGTTTGTCATGGTTTTAAACGCTGGGGCGCGGCCGGCCGTCATTCAGCAGGGCACCGTGCTGGCTCACGCGGCACGGGTCCCTGCGGAGGAGAGGCTGGTTGCGCAGGCTGATCCGAGCCCCACGAATAGCGTACCATCAAAGGAGGACCTAGATTGGATTGATATGCTGTGCGCGGACTCTGACGATTTGTCAGCGCTACAGTTGGGTGCGTTGCGCGGGTTGCTGATTGAATTTTCGGATGTCTTCAGTAAACATAAGTATGATATCGGATGCACGGACCTGCTACGCCACCACATTGAAACGGGCGATGCGGCACCGGTCAGGCAAAATCCCTTCCGACTGAGTCCTGCTGAGAAGGAACATGTTCAGTCGGCAGTTAACGATATGCTGGAAGCCGACATTATTTCGCCTTCTTCCAGTCCTTGGGGAGCACCTATTGTGCTCGTTAAAAAGCAGGACGGGTCCCTGCGATTTTGCGTCGATTTCCGCCGCCTGAATAAGATCTCGGTGGCCGACGCGTATCCGCTCCCCAGGATGGACGAGTCTCTCGACGCATTGTCCGGTGCGCGATACTTTTCGACTCTTGATTTATTGTCCGGATTTTGGCAGTTGCCACTCGACGAGGAGTCTAAGCCTAAGACTGCATTCCGGACTCCAGGGGGCCTGTTTCAGTTTAACCGGTTACCCATGGGACTTCACTCCTCTCCTGCGACGTTTCAGCGTCTTATGGAATTGGTTTTGTCGGGCTTGCAGTGGGAGACGTGCCTCATTTACCTTGACGATGTCATTGTTTTCGGTAAAACGTTCGAAGAACACCTCCAGCGATTGAGAGGGGTGTTCTTGCGAATGCGATCGGCTAAATTAAAGTTTAAACCGGCCAAATGCCATCTTTTTCGTAAATCCGTGAGGTACTTGGGTCACATTGTCGACTCTTCGGGGATTTCTACCGATCCTGCGAAGACGGACTGTGTCAGTTCGTGGCCGACGCCCACGTCAGTGTCAGACGTGCGCAGTTTCATCGGTTTTGCTTCGTATTATCGCCGATTCGTTGAGCACTTCGCCACCATTGCAAAGCCCTTGCACGCTTTAACGGCAAAAGGAGTGAAGTTCCGGTGGGGACCGGAGGAGGAGGCTGCATTCTGCTCCCTCCGGGACGCCTTGGTAAGGGCCCCACCCTTGTGCTATCCGGACTTTGAGAGTCCCTTCTTGCTAGACACGGATGCTAGCAACACGGGCATTGGGGGAGTGCTGTCCCAAGTCGTTGGAGGGGTCGAACGGGTGGTCGCCTATGGTAGCAGGGTGTTGTCGCCGGCAGAGCAGCGCTACTGCGTCACCCGTCGTGAACTACTTGCCATTGTTTTTTTTGTACAACAGTTCAGGCCATATCTCTATGGTCGTCATTTCACGGTCCGGACGGACCATGCGGCGCTCCAGTATTCATTACGGGTTGCCCAGCCCTCGGGCCAATTGTCGCGGTGGTTGGAAGTCCTCCAGGACTATCAGTTCACGACTACGTACCGTAAAGGGTTGCGACACACGAATGCCGATGCCCTGTCGCGGTTGTTGCCTTGTCACAAATGTGCGTGCTTATCGGGATCGGCGCGCTGTAAACCTCCGGTTACGGAAGGTAGGGAGGCGTTGGTTGCGACCGCGAGCACACCAATTGGGGATGGTCCCGCTACCCCAGGGGGTCAGGACTCGCTGCTCTCACTGTCGTTGATTGAGTGGGGCCGTCTCCAAATGGCGGACAGCTCCCTGCTGGCATTGCGCCGAAAGACGGAGGGTTCCGAAGGTAGCCACGACCGAACTGGCTCCTACGAGCTTAAGCAGAGCCTGTTGATGAGATGGGACAGTTTGTCCCGGCGGCATGCGATTGTGGTGCCTTCTGCTGTGAGGGGGAAGGTTGTCTTGGCCGCACACGAACGCCTCTTGCATTTGGGAGTTAACAAAACGCTTGCCCTGCTTCAGCGTGACTATTATTGGCCGGGAATGGGGGGTGACGTGGTGAATATTCTGAAGGGTTGTGTTGAGTGCGCCAGACGGAAACCACCGCCCGTGGCAGCTAATCCACCGCTGCAATCTATTCAGGTCTCGCGCACTAACGAGCTCGTTGCACTCGATATTCTGGGGCCCTTTCCGGTCACGCCTAGGGGTAATAAGTACCTGTTGGTGGGGGTCGAATATTTTACCCGGTGGCCTATGGCGTGGCCACTCGCCAACCAGTCGGCGGCGGCTGTGACGGACGCCTTTGTCCAGGGCTACGTCCTGGACAAGGGGGCTCCCGAACGCTTGCTGACTGACCAAGGGAAAAATTTTTCGAGTAAATTACTGCAGGAGGTGTGCGACCTGTTGGGTACCAAAAAGGTGCGTACCTCCCCGTACCACCCGCAGACGGACGGGATGGTGGAGAGGCTTAACAGGACATTGACCTCTATGCTGTGCCAGCAGGTGTGTGAGTCGCATGTTGATTGGGACCTGCAGGTCCCTGGGGTCCTTGCCGCGTATAGAATGGCCCCCCATGCAGCTACGGGGTTTTCCCCGTTTTTTCTAATGTACGGTCGGGAAGCCGACCCGCCCATGGAAACGCAGCTGGGTCTGCCCGCACCACGAACTAATTCTAAATTGGCAGAGCATATTAAATTTAATATTCATAAACTGACAGAGGCAAGGGAGGCCGCACGGCTTAATTCGCGGGCTCGCCAAATTGCGAACGAGCGGTTGCGGGCACGGAAGGTGTCCGTGCACAATTGGGAACCAGGTGACAAGGCCTGGCTGCATTGCCCTCAGGCACCTTTGGCCACGTCGCCTAAATTGTTGAAGCCGTGGCGGGGACCCGTGGAGGTCGTGCGGGTGGCACGCCCCCAGTGCGTTCAGATAAAATGGGGGAAACGCCGTTGGTACGTCCACCCCTCCCGACTGAAACCGTCCTCGCCTCCGTATGGCCTCCCCTTGTGTCGTGAGGGCCGAGCATGTGACGTGACCGACGACCCTGAGGGGGAATTGTCCTTGCCTGCTCCTCACATGTCTCCGCCTGATCCGCTCCCAGGTGTCTCGGAACTGACTGCTGCCGACCACCGGCGGCCGGATCTTCACGGCGGGGCCGGTCCTTCCAGGCCCGACCCGTGCCGTCTAGAGCTGCCGGAGACACCGGACGGTCGCCAACGTCCCGTTCCATACGACGGACCGGCCAGACGGACTCGCGCTAGGTCGCGCTACTTTGTGTAACCTACCACGTGCGGAGTCGAGGCAGCCGGAGCGCCTCGGCACTGCGTGGGTCACAGTGACACTTGGCGCGTTCGTTTTACGGTGTTCGCTTTTATTGTGTTGTTCGTCGGGCTGTATATTGCTTCATATTTAAGGTTGTGTTATGTTGTTGTTGTTGTGTTACGGGGCACACTGGGATGTGGAGTTCTTTATTACTGCGTTGCGTTATGTTGTGTTGTAGGTTAACAGCCGGGCCGGCTGCAAGCTATGTGGGAGGGGGTGATGTAGAGGTGATACGCGCTGGGATTAAGGATCGTATGCACAGTGCGTGATGATTGGCTGTGTAGGTGGTGACGCGCGCTGACGGTGGAGGATCAGGGGTCAGCGCGGGGTCGTGGGTTACGGGGTACCGATTGGCTGTGGGCGGTGACGCGCTGAGAGGGAGTGATCAGGTGGCAGCGCAGTGTGATTGGTGGAGTAATGTTAACACGCGCTGGGGAAAGCGGATCGTAGAGAGAGTGCGTCGTGATTGGGTCATTAAGGAACGACGCTCACGTCGACGCCGCATCAGCTCCGTCCCTCGTGAGCAGGGGCTATAAAAGGGGATGCACACAGGCGTAAGGGCAGTGTGTAACCAGCGAAGAAGGAAGACGGGGATGAAGACCTAGAGCCCTGCGGTACCTAGCCCCGCTGTCCTAAGGGGACCGGGACTCTGTGTAACCCAGAGGCGAGTGTAGTGGGTGTAGCCATAGGTCTACACGAGCCGAATGTACTATGTGTAGCCAGGGCATAGGGCTTACACGAGTCGAGTGTATTGTGTAGCCAGAGGCATAGGGCTTACACGAGTCGAGTATATTGTGTGTAGCCAGAGGCATAGGGTCTACACGAGTCAAGTGTATCGGGTGTAGCCAGAGGCCTAGAGCTTACACGAGATTAGTGGAGTGTGTCGGAGGAAGAAGAGAGACCACACGTTGTATTGTGATACCTAAAGGATTTAATAAAAGTGTGTTACCCGTCAAGAAGTTCCTGCCGTCAATTCCCATACTTCATATGTACGGAGTGGTATCTCCTGTAATCTCTCATTTACTTCATACAGCTGTCGGGCTGTGACGGTTCCACCTGAAGACGGAAGCTTGTGTTGCTTCCGAAACGTCGTGATTTTTATTTTATTTTACTTTTATTAATTTTAATGTTTTACCTACGTGACTTTACCGAAAAAACCTAAGAATACTTCGACAGTAGTCTTTTTCATTTACATTTTCTTGTTCGGTGTGCCGCGAAGACCGAGAGCCGTGAGAATGAAAATGTTTGCATTAGATGAATGTCGATCTATGTAATGTCCTCATTCCAAAATCATGAGCCAGTTGCATTTTATATCGACAAATTACAGTACAGCTGTATAAGCAGTACATTTTAAACCAGCCCACGATACAAATCCACGCGGCAAAAACACATTCAAAAGACTTTTGTAAAATCTCGAATATTTTATGGCATAAAATGATTTTAAACATGCACCCAGCTGAAACAATTGTTATCATGCAGTAAAGACATAACAATTCTGCAAATATAAACTCTTGAACACCAATTTGTAACGCCAGAGAACGCACTCCGATGCACTTAAGTGTTGTATTTTTGTTAAACTTATGAGCGAGTCAAAATCACCCCGAATGGCCACCTATTTATTCTTGTCAGACCTTGGAAGCGAAGTGGCATTAACCCGATGTAACTGCCTTCCACAGTTCATCGTTGTTAGCACGAGGGAGCGCAGCAATATACATTGTTGTACGATGATTCTACAAGCCCACAACTACGCTCTCCACCTTCAACCTGGGCGGATGGTTGGTGCGGCTCAAGTCGGATCGAACAATCCACACAGCTTGGGGAAGCTCTCATCCAGCATGTGATCTGACACTTCACATATTGCGTAGGCTTTTTGCGCTTGTATGGACACTTTCGTTTGACATACTAAGAGCTTCTCCTAGCAACCAAACATCGGGCATCGTGCCAAACATGTTTGTATGTAGACCTTCTTTTGCACCGTACATAGCTAACCGTGCTAAAACATGCAGCAAGCCCGAAAACCCACGAGACATGTTCACCTATTGGTACCTCAATGGGAAGTACTGGTTTGTCTGGTTGCCACATTTATTTTGTTTAGTATCAATACCACCAACATGCTTTGTTTAGCATAGTTTTTGATAGAAACAAGTTTACAGGATCCCACTACACTACAATAAAATCAATGAGTAATTACAATCAACAGTAGGAAAAATTTTATGTTTTTTACGCATTGAGAAATTATCTTTTGCACAAAGGATAAACGTATTAAACCATTACACACTGGCACAGTCATGTTTTATGGCTGTACAAACATAATTCAACAATTCCAAATTTGGCTTTGGACCTGTAGAATAATACATTGCGTTTATTTAGTGCATACATTATGGTCAGGTGATTTGCATACCCGGACATTTGTATCGGTGGAAATGCCACCTTGATATGAGTGTATGGGATAGTTTTGTGTGTAAATGCATAATTATTCTTGTGTGCATCAGTGTATGTCCACAGCGAATGTATTGCTCTTGACATCTTCAAAGGTCCAGGTCCTCGTGAAGATGGAGAAGTTTTCTCACCAGCTCTGAAATAAGCATACGTGTACATACAAGAATAGCACAGATAGTTCACGATTGGCAGGTTCATAGGTTCAGTGCAATCTTCCCCCAATATTCACAACAGTCATAAAGTAGATTCTAGTTGATTGATCTAAGCATGCCCCAGAGGAGAAAGTCCATGTGTGCCGATATCTCAAGTGTGATTTTATTAGCAGTTGCGCTTTGCTTTCCCCTCCCTCTAAGTCTCATGTAAGCATGTCTTGTTTATACAAGAGTTGTGCCTATATATTCAGCTCCGATTGTATTGTGGTGCGGTATAAAAAATAGCTTTGAAGGATACCAAGTTGCAGGCAACCCTTATCTTTGTACGAATTACAAGAGACCCTTTGTGAATAATAGAGGAATGTAGCTCTCAGAAACACCTTCTTGTTCGGTTATATGTATATTTATTATAAATGAAGTCCACCGACTCACTTATAACTTAACGAGTAACCGCGAGTGGCTATATACACTTGGGCAACTTATGTGACTCTACGCGACGCTTCCTGTGTAGTTGGCTAACTACACAGGAGCGGACGCGTAGTAGTCACGGAGACAATACAACTCTAGCCTTCCAAGACTACAAGGTGCCCGTTCCAGGACGATGAAGACAATCCGCTACAAGATGACAACAGCAGCCCAGAGCCCTGTTCCACGCCGGCTTTTATCCCCCTCACGACCCGGCCACGCCCCTATTCCCTAACTCTCTCTCCCCGCACCTGGCCCTGTCTGTCTGTCCTAATTACAATATATGACTGTTTAGGTCCCGTGCTTCTCATCATGCGACCCTGTCAATGCCTGTCGCATCAATCATTATTAGACCACTTAGGTCCCACATTAGTCTAACGTGAGCCTGTCTGTTCCAGTCACGTTAATTAGTAACCATGGCCACGGGGAGCTCTACTGTCCTGACAATAGGAAGACAATACTCATTTTCTTGTTTTGGAAAAGAGTTGAATGATTAATCTTGTAATGTTGCAACATGCCTTTGGATGCATGCAGGCAAATACATCAAGACTGTAACTCAGATAAATTTTACACGTCTATATTGGTGGCGGGTTGCAACGACACATTTATATATTTACGCGATCCAACCCAAAAACCTCTATTATGGATGATATTGGTCGCTAAAGCCTACGTGTTAAACTGACGTCTATATTGGGTTTTTTTTTATACAACGTGCAATTCGCAATCGAAAGAGGCACATGATTCACTGGTTATTTTTGTCAATTATATTTTTCACATTGAGGATGGAGTAGTGATGAGGTTGTTAATGGCCTGCACTATCAACCCAGCATCCTGAGTTTTGTTCCTGGTCATGGCCAACTTTGGTGGCAAGCTGATATCAGCATATCAGCACTGGCCCTGCCCTCCCCGCCCTTCCACTACCTTGGACTGACCAGTGTGGAGAATCATAAAAAAATACCCTGATGAGCAAAATGGCACGGAAGGCCTTCATTTAGCAGTGAATTGACAAAGAGCTGTAAATGATCATTTTGTGAAAAATGTACAAAGCAGTATTTAAGTGTATACTGAATGTACATATTACATAGTGTTTTTTTACCCTGCACACAGTACACGCCCTAATTCCAGCTTTCGGAGCAAGATTATGCAAAATGTGGTGCATTATTGTTAGATCAGGTCGGGCATGCCCCATGGCATCAAGAGTTACCTGCGGCGCCTGGCCTCAAAGGAACATCACACTCGCGCGCTTGGTCGATCAGAGTTTTCAAGACCTCAGGGCAGTCCTCCGGCAGTGGCTCACTCTCGCCCTTTATCACCATGCTACGAATTTCCTTCATGTCTTTGCCTGCCGTGAACAATTTCAACCGTCACCATCAGCATCGATGTTAACAATTACAATGTAAGGTTTACGTAGCATCCAGATGCAGTCCCATTTCAGGATGCTCTGTAGAGCAGTGGGGTGTGAAGGGCAGCAGAATGAAATGAGGGGAGAGGTAGGGAAAGAGCGAGTCCATGGACGGTTTCGATGACACGGAGTGCGATCTTGAGGTTGATCAATGATTGAATTGGAAGACAGAGGAGGGATCTGAGTATTGGGATGAAGTGGTCTCGTTCAGGGTGCATGTGAAGAGTCTGACAGACGCATTTCGGGTCATCTGGATATTGTAGATAGGGGAATTAGGGAAGCCGCATAAGAGAGAGTGGCATTAGTAGAGTTGGAACGTGATGAAGACTTGAATTAAGATTTGAACGGCAGCTGGGGTAAGAATATGGCAGATGCATAGAAATGTTGCATAGATGGAGGCATGAGACCACACAGAGTTGAGATATATATGGTAAGAGAGTTAGGGCTCAATGACACAATCATAAACTTCAAGATGAAAGCTGGAAAACAGTTGCTTAGGTATTAATTTGCATTTATCTACTAATGTTTATAAAATATGCTCAGCATCCATAAATACTGCTATATGTATTCCCTCAGCTGCTGCATGATAGAAAGTGCCAGTGGTGCAGCCCTAAACATTTCCCACGAATATCTTGGATGCTTTACTGGAACCAAAATACATGGGTACTAAATATACACCATGATTTCCAAAATACCATATCAGCACGGACATAGCACCAAATGATTGCATGTGGGAGTTGTGGATGTGGCTAGGGCGTTCCATGCAATGGGGTGGCAGTTAGGGTTGTGATTGTTAAGTGACGGTAATTCCGGTACAGTTGGTGAAGTGTGTTGGTTGTGTGTCGATTGTGATACTGTGGATGTTGGTGATGGTGGCATGTGTCGTTTGGTTGGTGGTTGTATGAGGGGAGTGTAGAAGCAGGTGTTGTGCAGTGATGTTCAAGATAACGACGGCCGTGGATCTTCTCAGAAATATCACCTTCGAAAGGAATCTTGCGTGCAGCAATTTCCCACATCACAACACCATAGCTGCAGAGACAACACGCCAACAAAAGCCATCAGATTACAGATACAACCATCTTCTGTTCATGAAAGACTAACTATCCTGTTATCCAACAACTAGCTAAAACTTACACCCTATAAAATACATTTATTTACATCAGGGGTGGGGGGGACCTATGGCTCATGGGCCAAGTGAGGGCCAAGTAATTCTAATCGGCCCACAAAGAATATTTTCTATTACCATAAGCATCTTAGCCGTTTGATGTCTTCAGAACTGCGATGTTAAATCGGCGAGTTCGAGAAAAGCAATAGGCAGGCATCGCATTCATGGAGTGAAGGCAAGCCCTCGTTTATCTAGTTTCACGTAACTATTGGACAATGCTAAGCTGTGTGTTAATGTGGCCCACCAAAGGCATCTTAAAGTCATATTGAGCCCTTTTCAGTAAGAAAAAGTGGCTGCTTGAGGAGACCTTTATCCAGCAGTGGATTGACCAAGGCTCATGATGACAGTTACGAAACCAAGTGTTTATCCAGCAAAGAAAAGCAGCTGCATCAGCAACCGGGTGGCACCTGTAGATGTCGCAGCTGGGAATGGGTTTGTAGTTGAGGTCCCTCTGTCTCTCAGGAGCGATGAATGCCATCGACTCCGAAGAGTTCCGGTTCGTGCTGCTACGGCAGATGGATGTGCAGGTCCTGGCAAAGCCAAGATCGGAGAGCTGCTCAAGACAGCACGATGAAATATAGAACATGGAACAGGACCGAGGAAGCAGGCATTAGGAACACGTACAAGTGTACATACATCCACCGCTGTATAAATTTTTCCACGGAGATTCAGACTCTGTGACCGTCTCAAGCCAACTTAACCACAATCGACCCTACTAAGCAGTTAGAAATGAAGACGGGGCAATGCGGTCTCAAATGCCTGGCCACAATCATGCACACCTTGCTCTAGTATCAGTATCCAGCTGCGAAGCTGTTAGGCATGCAACGATGCATCAACTCATTGATTAAAATCAATACTTATGCTCATCTTACATATAATTCTAAGTATAAGCATAATTATTTAAAATGTACGTAAAAAGTATGTACATTTCTCATGTAAACTCTGCAACCAATAGCTTCTACATTCTCCCATTATCATCAACACCAGCCATGGTCAATCCGCTGCTGGATTAAGGCTTCCCCAAGCTGCCACAATCCTTCGATGTAAATAAACCACCTGGCACCTGCACATGAACTTTCGCTAATGGCAAAACGTTTCTGCAATCGAATCGCAAATCTGTTGTATCAATAATAACAATGGCAGTACAATGGACATCTGTGGAAAAGAGCTTTATAATAGTTCATCAGATTCCTCCAGTATAAATACATATTCTGAGTCTGTATATTGCTGTTGAGTAAACCCCTGAGGCTGCATGTAGTTTTGACCAATAATGCTGGTCCAGCTTCATTACACGAATGTAATTTTAGATTATTGTATTTTTTTATCATAATTTATTATTAATTTTTTCATTTCACGGTCATTTTATATTTGCAAACATCACAAAGTAACCCCGACCCCTGAGGCTCCGGCACCTTGATGGTGTAGTGCTCGTTGACCAGGAACTTATCCGTGCACACGTTGCGGTAGCACACTGGGCTCTTCATGCTGTGCATTCTGCAAAGAGATGGCAGGCAAGAGCATGAACGTTCAATCAAAATTGCCGCACCTACACGGCCCCGTGACTGACTCATGACACTGTGTGCAACATCCGAAGAGGATCGGATGCTGAAAATAAAAAGGTGCAATTTAATTTTCAAGAGAGGACCACTGTGTTCCCGTGTCACGGTCAAAATTCTAAAGGACCAACATTAATTAGAAATGAGCCCACAACGGCTATGACACTTTGCGCGTGTCTACACCCCTCCAGCTGTCTAACATCCCCCACCCCCTCCCCGCACTGAATGTTTCCACCGCAAGTGGCTATCGGAGAGATTTATTCAGATAAATTAGCAACCTAACATTAGTAGCGAGTGATGATTCATAATTGACTATCTTTGTATCAAATCGCGTGAGTACAATGCCTACGTGTGTCGGAGACATTCCTCCACCGACACAGCCTGCAGGAGTTGAACTCTGGAAACCGCCTGATGATGCTGGATGCAATTAGCAGTGAATCATCGTAAATAATTGTTAAATGCATGTGGATTGCACTTTAGCACACTGCTGTGCTGAAGCAATACAAAACTGACATTTGTTTTACGTGACAACTTTACCTATTCAGCCGTGTGATGTGCAGGAGAGTGTACGACACATTGTCATTGACCAAATACATATATATTATGAACGTTAAGCAATGGTCACGAAAGCCTACGTGTCAAAAGTAGCAAGTGATATCTGAACAAGCGTTGGCCAACGTCGGAATATATGGTCAAACAACCCCCATGACTAAGGCCTATAACATCCAGCAGTGAATTGACAAAGAGTACCAAATTATTACTTAATTTCTACGATAAGCTAATATGTCACGTAAGAGTCATGTGGAGTCCATCCACTTAATTTCCATAATTGCCACCAGGCTGCCATATATCACTGCATATTTTCAAATTGACAATTACATTTTGAAAAATCTAAGCAGAAAAATCATAATTCTTAATCCATCCAAGCCAGCTAAATTCCTCCCATCTGTTCCACGCATCCGCGGTTATATGTCCATGCGCCAAACCGGTGGGGCCCTAAAGGTGCAAGATGGGGAAAGGGTAGTGGGGACCCCGGGGGATGGCCAGCACGCACCGGCAGAGGGCACGTGCCCCCTCCATGGCCATGTGAACCTTGCTGCGCCAGCTGAGTGGCTCCTCAGACTGCAGCAGCTCACGGAGGGTGCCACGGCTGCAGTACTCCATCACGATAGCAAAGAAACTCGCTGGAGCCAGGCAACGCATGCGGAGGAAGAAATACCGAGATACACAACAAGCATACATATGTAAACAAATGCAGCCCAGCGGACTGCTTGCTCAATCCGCTGACCGGCGGAAGGTGCCACCATTAGGGGAGGATCGAGAGGGCTGCCCTAGAGGGTATTTGGCCTACTCTTCCATGCTGGCCAAACATCTTGGAAGAGGTGCATACACATACGTTGTTTTTTATTATCACGGTTGCCAAGCAGAGGCCGTGAAATGGCCGAAATGCCAAATGGCCATCAACATACAGCACTCCTGAAGGTGTAATAAACAACAGTTATTATATTGAATTGAGAAAAAGTTCTAAGAACTTAGGAAAATAGACAATGCGAGGGAATTCCAAAGTGGGTCTTAGTGTGCGTATATTTGGGTCGCTATGCAAGGGAGTCACAGCCCAATATAACTGGCCACCTTGGTCTCCCCCCACTGCTGGATTTTATTGAATCATTGAATCCGCACCAAGTAAATTGACCAGAGGCCTTGACCCAGTTAAGTATATCTATGTGGTTCACTAAAATTTACAATAGACAAGTGGCCATGCGAAATGCCCAATATCTAGCAATAACATAATTGTTTCTCTAATGAAAACAATCAGCATGGTTGCGTACATGTTTGTTAAAAACAAATGCATTTTTAGTGGTCGGCAATCGACTAAAAGCCATTGCGAATAATGGTGGAGCAATATCAATCGTATCTGCTCTTGAACATTTGCAGCACCGTTACACCAGTAAGCGTATTCACATTAAATATTTAGACGTGTTGACACGGCGCGCTCTGCTCACAAACATCATTCCACGCTGTATAAAACTCCATAAACACGCCCTCTTTCTAAAAAACGTCACTCTGGCCTGCACGTACGCAAACTTACCCGAAGGGTCCACGATAATCCCATAGAGCCTGATAATATTCTCAGAGTCAAGTTCCCGCATCTTCTTAGCTTCATCCAACATGACATTCTTGGACCCCGCTGCATATGCACTGCTCACAAATAAAAAATAAAAAAACAGATCCTCCATGTCAGTGATGTCAGCACAAGCCTGTGAGTAAAACTGTCTCCCTGTGTGTCGTGCAATGCTTACTTAAGTGCTTAAGGCCTACCAAGGCCCACCAAGGCAATGCACGGTACAGGACGCAGTGGCAGGGTTGGGGGGGGGACAGAACACATCTCTGCTAGGTGATAGTTTTAGGCCGAGTCAACCTTAAAGAGACCCAGGTCAAGCGAAGACACCAATTGCCACAGCTGTCCATAGCCATGCATGGAAACAGGCTTATTAAGACTAGTGCAGCAATGTTCTCCAGTCACTCTCCCGGCATGCATCTGTCAAAGCCAAAGTGCCTTCTTCTTGGTTCTTTCGGTAAAGTCACGTAGAAGGGAAATAATAAAATAATAAAAATAAAACAGAATAAAATACAGACCTGTTCTTCACCTGAGGACGGCTGCTTGCGTTGTGGCCGAAACGTTGTGAGAATTGTATTTTATTATGTTTTATTTGTATTATTTCCCTTCTACGTGACTTTACCGAAAGAACCAAGAAGTTGAATCCCTGCAGTCACGAAAGCTTTAAACCCATGATTTGGCACTTGCGATATAAAAGTAATGATAAAAAAAGAACTTGTGTAAAAAGTTGTAGATGTTTTAGAAAATTTCGAAAACAATTCACGGCAAGGTTGGAAGCATGACGTCATTACACACGAACGTGGCTGAGGTGTTGTGAAAGAGAGCTGACGTCACCGCCCATGATCAGGGGCGTACATGTTTGTCAGGGGCACACCTCTGGTTGGCTGCTTGCTTGTGGTCACATGACGCACTTCAACCAATCCGTGCCGCGTTAATCACACAATGACAGAATCACAGAATTACAGAATGACAGACCTGGGTGTTTATATATATTTGTGTTATTGTTACTTTGAATATTAAGTCAGAAACACTTGGTCTGTGCCCTCCAGTTACCAGGGTGAAAATTAGGCTACGTTTTGCCCAATCCTGGACCAGCTGCTTCAAAAACGTAATAAACAAACAATTTGTTCATGATTTGCGGTCACAATTTGAGTTTATCCCACCATTATTCTGCCGTGGCATCAAGGCAAGATGGGATGGCGGGTGGGGCCTAGCCAACCTAGTGGAATCGTCATTGAAACGTAATACTTACGCATCTACCAAATCTTGCAATGGCAATTCCACTAGGCCTGAATGCCACGCTAGGCTCTATCCGACCCCCTCCACACTCCACAATTCCACTGGTTCTGTTATCCTGTTAGGAAAATGTATTTGATTCTAAGAATCGAATTGCGATGCAAAGCTGGGAATTGTGCGATTCGACAAACTCTACCCACATGTGTTTCTTATGCACTCATACGTCCAGCCCATCCCCAAATGAGCGCACTCACCTCATGTCAGATTTAAAATGCTTGATCCAAACGGGGAACTGGCAAAACTCGCCCTTGTACATGGAGTACTTGATGGTGGTAATGTCTTTTTTCCGGTTCACAATCTCATCCAGCTTTATCTCCCGGAGCTCTTCCACAGGGTGTCTAGACTTCCCTGTGTTAACAATAAATAAAGTCAGGAAGTGGAAAAACATGAAGGTTATCAAATGGACTTTTGCCGCTTTCCTATATTAGTCGTGTTTCGTGTACATAGACACAATGCACATACTCCCACGTAATACACACAACACGCCACATACCACAATTGCAATATACACCACACATGAAATCACATCCAATGGCGGGTGGAGTGGTGGCGCACTACACGATGACCAAGCGAGATGAGTTTCTTGGCCACGGCCAATCCGCACCGAGCAGTGTGGCAGAGTACGGTCAAGCACCCCCTTGGGAGGCCTTGATCCAGCAGTGGATTTAACAAAGCCATCTAATTTTCTTTACTTATTCCACCCAATCGTGTGGGTTCCATGGTCAGAGTGCTCGACTCGTAAAATGGGAAGACTTTGATGATACACGGCATGCCAGAACACGTTCATTTTATTGTTGCCTACTGGAAAATACAACCATGAGAGGTTTTTTGGGTTAGAGCGTGTAAATATATAAATGTGTCGTTAAAACCCGCCACAGCCAACCCTTACTAGTTGGCTGTCGGGGGATGTTGGGTTTTAACGACACATTTATATATTTACGCGATCTAACCCAAAAAACCTCTTATGGATGAAATTGGTCGCGAAAGCCTACGTGTGAAACTGGAAAATACAAGGTGATCCCGTTTATAGATACTCCACTTAAATAATAGGGAAATACACTTTGTTATTTTAAGACTTTCCCTTGTAAGCTAAGGAGTCATCGCTTGACAATACTGTGCGGAAGAAAATAAGATGGGGATTTGAAATCAAATGTGGTCTCTATAAAAAAAAAGGCATTGAAATCAATTCCTCATGACCATCCACAAACTTGATTAACGGCCAATTGCTCCTTTGAACAAAAAGGCACTTTGACCCGACTGTTGTGGACCCTTCTGTTGTAGCTCGGCTGTAGCATCCTCACCGAGATCCTTGGCAATGTTTAAGATGGTGCTGATTGTTTTTTTCATTTCTTCCTGCTGGGATTCGCTGGCCCTGCCCGTCTCTGTGAGCACAGCTGAAATAGCGAAACCAAGGACAGAAGAGACAAATCAATGGAGGGAAATACTGTACTGTAAACCAACAACATATAATGCACGAATTCTAGATTTGAAGCTTTTGTGACTGCAATGATGCCGATCATTGCTACAACTCGGTGGGCTCTCATGAAATTGTATTTTCCGAGACCAAGGTTCTCTGCAAACCTCCTGGCTACCATCAAAGGTTTGTACACGAAGCCATACAAATATACAAACACAGACATAATTTCAACCGTGATGACGGTTACAAACTGAGTAATCATTGGAAAGATGTGATTAACCATGCAAAAAAGATTTAACTACACTTATTTGCCAATCTTATTTGACAGACAACCATCACAGTTTTACCATGTTTAGTGGTGGTCTCCCTGTTACAGGTTGAGTCACAAACCGCACCTCTCCATAACAAAGGCTCAGCCTTTGTTATGCAGTTTATTCTTAGTCTTAAACCTCACCTTACCATATTAATAAAAAGTATACGGCCCTTGCCCCACTACTTTCTCCAACCATTATATAAACGGATTGGTAGCTCCTGCAATCTCTCATTTACTTGATACAGCTGTCGTGGCTGTGACGGTACCACCTGAAGACGGAAGCTTGTGTTGCCTCCGAAACGTCGTGATTTTTATTTAATTTTATTTAACTTTTTAATGTTTTTACCTACGTGACTTTACTGAAAAAACCGAAGAATATGAATATAATGCACGACATGAAGTAAAACAAATGAGCATTGCCTTAGGTTGTTTATTATTTGTATTCTGCAGATATTTCAGGCTATAGATCTTAAAATTAACCCAATTACTTTACTATGCAAGTTCAAAATTTGCGTTTTAATATTTACGTGTTTTTTTTATTTAAGGCCCCTTTTTAACATATGCTACAAGGCCCCGCACTCGCTTAATCCGGCACCGAACAGCTGTAAAATAGTTTCATAAGACTGGAAGTTGGCTAGCAGGTGCGTGGTGGGGTAAACCAACGAGTAATGTTTCATAGTTGGCATACTTCTTCTTAGAGGAGGGAAGCAGTGGGTTGAGTGCTTTGGTATGGATGAGTGCTTTGTGAAGGTCCTCATAGGCAATCAAGTTATGACCTTCCCTTTCACATACAAATGCAATGCTTACTTTAGTCCAAAGCGTTTCTACATAGGTGGACATTTATGTAATGCCACAAGTAGACACTTCATTCAATATTAGTCAATTGAAAAAGTGCAAAAACAAAATGCTGTCCTTAAGACTGATGTGTATTAAAACAGGGGGACCAATAATTTATACTGCCATGAAAGCAATGCATATTCTGCTCAAGGCACACATACAGAATTCAGTTTCCTTTGGTTATTTATAGCTCAAGTTGCCATGGTGTAATGGCTACCCACGCTTGAAATAGTAGTCCAGGTTAAGACCAGTTCAATGTCTAACTCCAGCATGGCAGTGTAAACAATATCCAAGAGCCTTCAAATGGGAAAAGCACAGGATAGTTGATTTACAGGTCACGTGTGGTGGCAGTAAAGTGTGGGTAAGTAACTCCCACCTCATTAAAGACACCTGGCCAGCGTAGAAGTGGGGGGGCCAAAATACCCTCCCAGATAAAGCGGTTCCCAAAAACCTTAGATTGTGCGGACACCTTTTTAGCCTCCAAACTATTTCGCGGACCACCACACTCCACTGGTTATTTGAAATAGCAGATTTCCTTGCGGCTCTGAAGCCACAGGTTGCTGACGCCTGCTCTAGAGGATTTTTCTAGAGGTCCCTATCATGGAGGCCCTTCCACCAGCAGCAGTGTGAACAAGCAATTGCATGGTTGCATCTTTACTTTGATAGGTTATACCCAAGGGTTTGAAATGTTAATATGATATTGGAATGGCATGGACGGAAACACGCATAAGAGGCCAGGCAAAGTGGAGATGGAGCAAAGTTACATGGAAGATAACTTAGGATTAAAGTGCAGTCGCACAGGATTGATAGCAACGGCATCCTCAGTAAGGGAAGGTAGGTGATAAAGAATTGTCACAAAAACATGTTTGCATGTGGATCCAAATCGCTCAAATAGGTATGCCGTAAACTTCATATTTTGTAAAATAATGCCCTATTAAAATAAATGACCAAATAGCACTTTCCATATCCTTGCTATTCAATTTATACTGGACAAAGAAGATACTCTGAACATTATATTTGAACTAAACTTGTGCGATGGAGTCAAAATTTAAGTTCTAGTTTAGATCCTTGTGTGGTCCTTATCCAAGCCTCACTTAAGAATATAAAGCATATGGTATACAGAGAATAATTCATAATTTGAAACCTACCGTTCAGTATAAGCCGTGTGAGGTCCTCACGGAAGTCCTTCGTGGCGTCCATGATATTCTGCGGGCATATGTAGGTTTGCGTCTTGTCCAGCGTGTTGATATCCTGCAGGGTGATCATGGGAATGATGTCGTTGAGTCGCTCGTGGAAGAGTTCGAAGTTCTCCTGGGCATCGCTACTCTTCATGAATTTCTTAATGGCCCCGTAATTCTCATACTTCTCGATGTATTCCTTGATCTGCACGATGACCTCGATGAGCTGTACGAAAGCATTGCTACGGGCCCTGCAGGGCATCTTGTCAGGGTGTTTGGATTTGCCGGAGGCGCCCTCAGACGAGGCCGCCTGCTCCTTCCTTTGGAGGTAGTCTATGACCATCTTCACCCTGTCCACCAACCTCTGACATTGGTATCTGTTGGACTTTACTTGCTGGAATGTTTTGTACAGCTCCTCTGCTACCGAGAAGACCTTTGATACAATTTCTGCAGGAGAAAGCAAGCGCAAAAACAATTGCACAGGCGTGCATGAATACACACAAGGCCTTTGTAGCGCAACAGCACGAGTGGATACACCAATAAGGGCAGCATTTTAATGTTATGCACTTTGCTTGAAAACTTACTCGTAAAATTATTAAGGCTTCCATATTTTACACGAACAAACTAAATATTACAATATGCACGTGTGCTGAATATTTACCAGAATTTATAAGCACTGTACAGTGCTGTACAAATGCTCATTTGATATAATCCTTCTATTGTTCTACGTGGATGTAAATGCATGTTTTAATGCGTATATATAAAACACAATTCACTGGGATTGAGTGTGTGTAAACATGCTTCCTATTTGAAAGCCAACAGTAATTGTGTCCGATAAGCCAGTTCTAGCATTCATTCTTAGCAAAAATTCAGAAAAAAATACCTATCATAAATTAGGGACAGGGTTAGTGTTGGCTTTTCACTTTTAGAAAAAAAATACCTATCATAAATTAGGGACAGGGTTAGTGTTTGCTTTTCACTTTGAGCAAATAGACCACATGTAATGTTATTCGGCGTTTCCCCAAACTTCAATACTTGAACGGAAACCCACACACTTCCTCATTAGTGTGTTTCAACTTGTTTTCCTCTAAGCAAACAAGTGTACGAGCCATACCGAAAGAGGATGCAAGTGTCCTGCATGACGAAGCCAGGTTTTTATGTCAACATGAGTATCTTTAACAGCCTCCGATTCGGTTAATGCGGAGCTTATTTTGGGTTAAATCACTGTGGTGTACAATGGCATTGTTTAAATTATAATCCGTCCACTACCTGACACAGACAATCAAGTCAAGTTGGCACATCATGGGCAAATGTGGACGTTCTCCCCGTGGCCACGTGGACTTTTCTCTGGGTCCTCCGGTTTTTCCCTCCACAATTAGAAACATGCGTTCATAATATTTTGGCTGCTACATACCTGTCAACCCCTTACTACAGACCAATTCAGACCTTATTGGTCACCCCGTGCCCTTATAAATCTCAACGTCCATCCTACAAAGTTGCATCACAAGGGAGACACAAACGAATAGACAAACACATGTTGCCCGTATTGAAGCGGTTGTACGCCGTATGGACCTGAAAACTCAATTTACCTGTTACAAGAATACGGATAAACTCTATGGGTTGACAGGTATGCTGCTATAATTTTCCGTATGATAGACCACTTAGTTGAGCTATTTGTGGCCAGGTCACTTATGAAAAATAGCTGTATAGCTCAGTATGGCCTTACCTGGTAAACAAAAATAGTTTAATAATAGTTTGTATAAATATGCCAACTGACATGGTTTATTAGCAAATCCGAAGATATGTTGAAAAGGAAGGAACATTTTGGACGTTTCATTGGAGATTCCATGCAGTATCAGCAGGTGTAAGCCAAATTACATGAATTATTTGTCCATGCGATATTGACTCGCTCTGTTGGGTTATGGAGGATTATAGTTTAAAAAATGGCATACCTACACGATCTAACCCCAAACAAACTCATTATATACCAAAATATTGGTCGTTAAAGCATATAACAATAATCTCCGATTTTAACAAATCAGTCTGTTGAGTTATCATAATAAGTTATGAAAAGGGCATTGGATACCACTGTAGGTCAAACGGATGTATGGAATTGAATCCTACAATATTTCCCCACATGGAAAATGTCATAATCTCTGCTAATTTCCTGCACGCATGGCCAAAGTATTCTTTGTGCAAAACGCCTAGCGACGCTGTTTAGCAATCGGACATTTTCTAAAATCTCGCTTGAGTTATCTTCATGCATTGTTGTTGTCCTTCTCCCGCACCTCCGATTAGCACGGTTGGCTACATATGGTGTAAAAGAAGTTCAACATACATACATTGCTCACCCTTTTCCTGCAAATAACGCTTTTCAAGTGTTTTTGTTTTGAAATAGCATTTTTCCCCCCTGCACAGCCAACATGACCCCTAAAGATATTAGCTTGACAGTTGAGTGCAATAGTTTGGATTGTTAAGAAAAACACCATTCAAGTTACACAGCTGTATGCCAGACGGCAAAAGCCAGTGTTATCATCACTCATGATTATTCACATATGGGTTACATAATCCGCAGGGGTCAAAAACAGTCATGTATCGCTAAAATAACATTCATAAAATAACGTTCACAACATGGATAGCATTCATAACACATTTAACATTTGGCGTCATCTGGTCCAACACCATGTGAGACTAGGCTCTAAGGAAAGCTGTCTCGGGTGTGGACCAATCAATTTCAAGGACAGTGCATACATTATCAGAGTTGGTTTTTTTTGTTTGCATTCCGACTGCAGGTATTGGTCAATGCAAACATGACTCCTTGTAAAAAAAGGTGTCAGTTTTGTTGCCAGATAAAAGGGTAAAAAACCAATTATCATATTTTGCTACTGGCAAAGGATGTGCTAATGGTGTCAATCAATTATGTTATTTAAATAGTGAATATCTCATCAGACATTCATTCATGTTCATTATGGTTATGAATGTCTGGTCAACTATGCACAGGCAGAGAGGGCTGTGCAAAACTCACGTAGGGCAGTTCTTCTCAACCGTTATTGTCCACCACTTGTGTGGCCCATGATTTGTGAATTGTTAGCACATTGTGATCATACCAACTGACGTATTAAACGTGAAGCGCAAGAGACGCGTTTAAGACGTAGGCTTTCGTGACCAATATTATCCACAAGAGGCTTTTTTTGGGTTAGATTATTATTTAAGATTATTTAAGACCGAAACAGGAGGATTTCTCCACAACTCTGGCTGTGGCCTGATGATGCTGGTTGTAATTACCGGCGAAACGTCGTAATCGAATTGTAAATGTTGTGGGCTTTACTCTCCAACACGCCGGGGTGCTGAACTATAAACTAATTGGCATGTTTTGTTTTACATGACAAGCTTGACAAATTGGCTGTGTCGGGTGGTGGTGGGTTTAACGATACATTTATATTTACGCAATCTAACTAAAAAAAACCTCGATTGTGCAATAACCACAGCAGAAACGCTGTATTATTTTCCAGAACTTATGTGCAAAGCACTGTATAGTGCAGTGTATGTATTACGTATGGACGTGCATGTTTTATTATGCACTCAAACGCAACACAATAGTGTGCTGTGTATCTGGCGACATTAGCGTAAACCCAGTAGAATAAGAGGGTGTGGTATACATTGCAAGCTACAGTTAAATCATTAAAGCAACGTTATACTGCAACTTGTTTGACAATTACCCTTTTTTATAGCAAGGGGGCATCGCCCAAAACGTGAGCTATGATATTTTAAATATTTTACTGTAAAGCCAGAATGTTATTAACGAATGTATTAAGTTTGTATGATTTGTACTTGAATGCCAGTGCTAACGCAGCAGTAGCAGCATCACCACCAAATACAGTACCAATCAAGTATGTACCTTCTACTTCAGGCCAGGATATGCTGTGCATCCAGCAACATATCGTGTGTTACAAATACTCGACTGCGTGTCTTGTCATTGAAACAGAACAAGTGTATGACCACGATGGCAGTATGCCGCATCTGACCCGCCCATGCTGCACATCTGTGAAAAACCTTCATAAGCTCATCGGATTTCTCCAGTCTAAATATTCAGATAAACATTCTGATGCAGCAACATTCGTGCTGTATCTACCCATTCACACGTACCATATCATCACAAGCTCAAAACAGTGCCGTGCGTGCTGATTAATGTCATAATTGGTTTTTACCCTTCTATCTGGCAACAAAACTGACACCTTTTTACAAGGAGTCATGTTTGCATAGACCGCAATACCTGCAGTCATAATACAAACAAAAGAACATAACTCTGATAAAGTGCACTGTCCTTGAAGCTGATTGGTCCACACCCGAGACAGCTTTCCTAAGAGCCTTTTGGCGTCATCTGGTCCAACCCATGTGAGACTAGGCTCTAAGGAAAGCTGTCTCGGATGTGGACCAATCAACTTCAAGGACAGTGCACTTTATCAGAGTTATGTTCTTTTGTTTGTATTATGACTGCAGGTATTGCGGTCTATGCAAACATGACTCCTTGTAAAAAGGTGTCAGTTTTGTTGCCAGATAGAAGGGTAAAAAACCAATTATCATATTTTTACTGGCAAATGAGGTTCCCATAGTGTCTGATTAATGTCAGTGCACCAATCCCACATTTCAAATGTTTAACATTCTTTGCACAGTCCTACGTGGCAAGCTATGCTGAAACAACCTCTCCACCATCAACACGGAGTGGGGGACACCCTCATCCTTCAGTGGATTGACAACAGGGCTGTACATGGCCGATAAGAGTTCATGTCAGTGTACTGCATAGTGATATGCGGTGCTATCCTTGTGTGACCCTTACACTTTCACACAATCTTGGCAGTTGATTGACACATTTACCGTCATAACCACACACAAATCTAGACTTTACACTTTCAATACAAACCGCAAGCTGACTAAAAAGACAAATATCCCCCGTATAGCCTTAACGGACGGCTGGGACAAGTGCTGTGAAAGAGTAGCAGCCTACGAAGGACGGCACGGCACTTGCTGGACATCTGTGAAAAAGAGCTTCATCGCTCATCGGATTCCTCCAGGCTAACAAAAATGATTCTGACCACGAGGGGATGTGGGTGGCCAACGCCACGGACAGACACAGAAGCCATCTCTGCAGGGACAAAGGGAATACAACAGCCAGCCAGAGAGAAACCTGCACCCAAGATGTGACCTTAATTGAAATGAGAAAAAAAAAACACCCCATCACATTTGTCCACAACACTACCCTAAAAATGGAAAAATATATATACAAGGAAATTAGTTTTTGTATATAAAATAGGCAACGTTTTAATACACTGTACTAATGATATATGAGGTGATATGCAGCCATACCTGTCAACCCCTTATCAGTGCCCTACCTTATTACAGACCAAATTTAGACCTGATTGGTCACCCCGTGCCCTTATACATCTCAACGTTCATCCTACAAAGTCCCATCACAAGGGAGAAACACTGGGTGGGGAGGGTGGGGCTAGATGGGGAGGTTCTGGTCACCCCGTGGTGCCCTTATAAAACTCAACGTTTCACCTACTCACGCCGGCTTGTTGCCAGCCCTCACAGTCGGGCATATTTGCGGAATACACCACGCCGCCGTTGACCCTGCAGGCCATTGACCGAGCAACCCGACGTTCCTACCAGCTCCCTCCGCAGGAATGTGTTTATTTACACTCGATGAATCCGATTAGCTATAAAGCTCTTTTTTTTCACAGATGTCCAGTAGCGGCACGGGGTCAGAACGTTACAATAGAAACACGATAGGAATGCACACAACATTACTTCATATATATACAAATGAAACCAAACTATGTTTTTATCTTACCACGCCGGGTGTTCCATATGGGACACATTCACAAGCAGAGGACAAAAACTATGCGTAATGTACATGTATATCCCGTAAGATTTACAAGTATTCATATTCTTGGTTCTTTCGGTAAAGTCACGTAGAAGGGAAATAATAACAAAACAAAAATAAAACAATAAAATTCTCACGACGTTTCGATTGCAACACAAGCAATCATCACCAGGTGTGAAACCCACAGCCACTTTTTTCAAATAAAATTGTCTTGCTGTGTTTTTCACACCTACCTGATGATGATTGCTTGTGTTGCAATCGAAACGTCGTGATGTTATTGTTTTATTTTTATACTTTTATTATTTCCCTTCTACGTGACTTTACCGAAAGAAACAAGAATACGAATCACTGCAGTCACGAAAGCTTTAAATCGAAATTTACCCGTATTCTTGTACCTGGAAATTGATTCTGAGGTCCATACGGTGTGCAGCCGTTTCAATACGTGCAAACACGTTTTTGTTTGTGTCTCTGTGTTTGTGTTTCTCCCTTGTGATGGGACTTTGTGGGATGAACGTTGAGATTTATAAGGGACACGTGGTGACCAATAAGATCTGAATGGCTCTGTAATAAGATGGGGCACTGATAAGGGGTTGACAGGTATGTAGTGGTGATTGTCTATTTGTGTTTCTCTCCTTGTGATGGGACTTTGTAAGATGAACGTTGAGATTTATAAGGGACACGGGGTGACCAATAAGATATGAATTGATCTGTAATACGATGGGGGCACTGATAAGGGGTTGACAGGTATGTAGTGGTGAATGTCAGTGGTGAGTGTACTAGTGGTGAGTGTATGTGTTTGTGTTTCTCTCTTGTGATGGGACTTTGTGGGATGAACGTTGACATTTATAGGGGCACGTGGTGACCAATAAGATCCGAATTGGTCTGTAATAAGGTAAGGGGTTAACAGGTATGTTATCCACAAATATCAACATTGCTAGTAGCTAGTAGCTAAACATTTCGAACACATTCGCCGCATCCCCCCAACGCCTTTAACCTGCGACGCCCACGTGCGTGAACACGGCTACCACAACGCGCGTAATTCGCGTAACCCAGATGGCGATAAAGTTCCACAACATTATCGCCTGCCTTTGCCTTTTGATTATTAAAATATAAGAAAAAAATAGGGAGGGTGGGAAGAGGAAGGGGAAAGAAAAGACGGCGGGTTTAGCGATTTCCTCCCCCTCCGCGGAGCAGGCTTCGAGGCGTTGCGCAAACAGCAACGCCGCCTCTACAGTGCACCACGCACACTTCCAACATCACCACGAATCGTCGTCGTCGTCGTCGTCTTCGTGGTCGCGTTTAAAACACCGCAGTATCCGCAAATGTAGCCGAGCAAGCGGCTCGATGTGTCTCTTGCACAAGTTGTTACTCACCGAAAGCATCCATTGTAACAATGCTGCTGCTGCTGATGAAATGAACGCTTGGGGTGGTGCTGAATGAGATGCTTGTGATGTTGAACGCCAAGTCCAAACTCGACACGAGCAGTTCTTTTAATCGATCTTCTGCCGTATGGAACAAAAACAGACAACTGTGTCCCGTATAGGCCACGCAAGGCTGCCGGGCAAGTGCTGCTGCACGTTCCGATTTAAAGGTTTGTATCAACTTCTCAGCGGAAACAAAGAAAACCAAAGAAAACACTGAAAACTGCACGTTCACGCGACCCCTAGACGCCCAGTGGGTTCTTCCAGAACCCGGTGAAAGACCCTCGTTCTTATAAGGGAATTAACAGCCTTGCAAACTCCTCCCCATTCACCCCTCACACTCCTCCTCCTCCTCCCACTTCTCCTCCTCCCGCCCCCTCCTTCTACAGGCACTAAGGGGCCGTCCATAAATGACGTCACGAGATTTTGGACGATTTTTGACCCCCCCCTTCCTCACTTCGTCACGCGGCGTCACATAAAGTCAGACCCCCCCCCCTCTCTCTCTCTCAAATATGACGTCACAAAGCTCTGCCCTCCCCCCTCCCCCCAAAAAATGAAACATGCTTCAAATCGATCTTAATTTTGGAGCTTTCGTGACTGCAGGAATTATTCTTTGGTTTTTTCGGTAAAGTCACGTATAAAAATAAAATAATAAATTAAATAATAGCATACGACGTTTCGATTGCAACACAAGCAATCATCATCAGGTATAATGAAATAGCGACATAGAATATAACCAGAAAACTATAGACAGACATATAAGCAGACAGATATCACCAAGATACATAGAGAGAGCAACCCAGGTACAGAGAGAGGTGATCGTCTCTGTAGGGTGGCCTTAAATAGACAGAGGGGGGCGGAGGCAGAGAGAGGGAGGGGGTAGGGAAAACATTTACATGTCAATGAGTGCGAAGGGAGGGGAGTAAGGTAAGCAAGCAGGCTTAGAGGGAGACAGAACACACTAAATTAAATAACCTAGCAAAGTATCGAAATGTTATGTAAAACGACACAGAGAGTCGGTTCAAATCGCTTTAAACTGTTGTCATTGTGGTGCGTATTAAATGTGGCGCTGCACTCTGATGTTGTAGGAGAAAACATTTATAATAAAAAGTCTAATTAAGTAGAACGTGTTGTCTATATTTATTTAAAGTTGCGCATTTTGATGTGACGTCACATTTCTCAAACAGTTTCATTTTCAGTTTCATGTATTAGGTATAGCCCTGTGAGCCATTCGGCTCTTGAATCGGGTGCAACCGCAAGAAACAAAAAAACATGAACAAGAAAACATCTTAAAGTGACTATGTGACTAAGTGCAAACAGAAAATCCAGGAAAAAAACCCAGCACAAATTCCTGAAAAAAGCACCATACACCAACGCTTCTCCTCCCTCCTCCTTCTCACTGCTTTCCTCTATGGGCTCATACTCTTTGTTTTTTTCAGTAAAGTCACGTCGGTAAAAAATAAAATAAAAATAAATTAAATTAAATCACGACGTTTCGGAGGCAACACAAGCTTCCGTCTTCAGGTGGCACAGTCACAGCAAAATTACTGTATCAAGTGGGACATGGGAAAAACCAGAGTATGGACCCTTGCAGTCACGAAAACTTCAAATCTAGAATTCCTCTATGGGGTCTAGCTAGTTGAAGCGACTTAGCCAGTCATCATGGAATGTTGGCATGTTTACTGGGTGCCGACAAAACCAGGCATCATCACGATGCAGATGCTAATTCTGTATTAATGACCCTCGAAAATAAAGGGTGTTTTTTTGGGTTAGATCACGTAAATATAAATGTGTCGTTAAACTCGCCACCACCCGACACAGCCAATTAGTAAGGTTTGTCACGTAAACAGAACATGAACAGGAGGAATTCTCCACAATTCCGGCTGCCGCCTGATGATGCCGGTTGAAATTACTGGCGAAACGTCGTAGTCAGATTGCAAATGTTGTGGATTTGCTCTCCAACACACCGGTGTGATGTACTAGTAACGAATTGGCATGTTGTTTAAGTGACAAACCTTACTGATTGCCTGTATCGGGTGGTGGCGGGTTTAACGACACAGTTCTATATACGCGATCAAACTAAAAACACCTGTATTATGAATGTGTCGCGAAAGCCTACGTGTTAAACTGATTAATGACCCTGTTTTATCCATGCACAGTGGCATATGCAGTTGTGTAGTATGCGATCACATTGTAGAGTTACATTTTGACTTTAGAATTGTCGATCTATCGACATCTACCAACCTCAAACGTCCTCGATGCCAGCAACTTAGAAGTAATTTGGTTGGTCTTGAAGCCGTGACACCATCACGACAGTGATTTTACAGCCTTTGAAACTGAAGTATAAAATATCCTTTCCAAGCACACCTGATACTGCAGTGTGCACAGATGATGGTCGAACACGTGCCGAAAATAGGTATTGGATGTGTCCCTTAAGTCTCCTACTATGGTGACGAACTGTTGGTGTACTGATATATATCTGGTCAAATTACCTGGATTGTGCCCGATCTCGTCAGATGTTCTGAAGCTGTGGCAGGGTTGATCCTGGATAGTAGTTGGATGAGCGACAACCATGCATCACGGCTTGTTGTTGTTAAAGGAATTTGGGGCTACCGTTTCAGCACTAGACAATTGAACAATCTCAATTGCTCAGTCGTCAATGCCATATACCAAAAAATATCGTCGTTGAATAAACAGTGGATTGACAAGCCGATCGTGCATGTACCTCTATGTGTGTTGTACGGTGGCTATGTTGCTATCTTGTGTAATGAATACCGGAACAGGACAGATATGAGTCACCAGTCAGCTTGATGGACGTGTTCATTACGTGAGTTTGTATAATGGCCTGACACAAGAGATGCCTCCTCGGAAGATTGATCAATTATGCACTCGATTGTAGACTACAAGGACTGTAATACATTAAAAAGGTACCGTATACAACACTGACATGAACGGGACCTGTACAGCCCTGCTTAGATGGAGACATCTAGTTATTTCAGCTATTTTTCACCACGCTGGTCCATGCAGGTTGGCGAAGGCAGAGAGATAGGAATCATAGAAGTACAGTTCAACAATGGATTTTACCATACGACCTGTTATGCCATACGAAGAGGAAATAGCATCACAGTTTTTCTAAAGTACTACACTGCTGTACTATGTGTACAGTACTTATACTGCAGTGATATGTGAAAAACAATACTGTAGAGTAGCAGCAAGTTAAATAACATAGTTTGTAAATACTGTCAATTTTTAGCTAAATAAAGTTTGCATTACAATACAGTGGTGAGGTGTAAACTGGCTTCGTGATACAAGGTATAGTGAACTATCTCAAATGCCCTCACTTTACACAATATCTACTAACACGTACAACTCAACCACACACACACTCGTGATGTAAAACGAACTGGGAACACATTCTACTTCATTACTGTAGAGGGAAGTTTAATCAATACTCGATTGTGGCCATGCAACCCAAACTATGGGCCATATAGTAAACAGCTGTAGTCGATGCTCCTTCAACGGAAGAATGTAAAAGCGACACGAACTCTCTCTTTTGAAGCCCTCTTCGTCGTGGTCAATAGCTAACCTCGCGATGTTGGCATTTAGCCTCCCGAACATACTGATGACATACTCAACAAAAAGAAGTGAAACTTTGGTTGGGGTAAATTGCGTCAATGAAGCCATGTGCTTGGATTTCAAATTGCGGAGTTTCCCTGATGTCTCTCTTTAGACCTGTGTGCCCGCGCTGTGCTTTGTGCGCGAATAATACATCAATCCGTGGCTTCGTCTCTGGGACCCAGTGGGTTTCCCCGAAATAACTCAACAGTGAGGTCATCATCAATGATCTAGCCATTGCAGTCAGGGAATTTCCTGTCCCATGCAGAAGCATGTCAGTGCGCCCCAAGTGGACAAGCTTACTAAAAGTACACCGATTATTGTGAGCGTCGTCGTCGTTGAGATTATAAGATAAACAGATGATATGCCTCCTTAACGTATTCGTCTTTCCACACAAAAACATTCTTACATAACCCATCAGCCACGTGCACCGCCTTCTGGAAGTGCATATCAACAGCATTGTTTCAAGACAAGTAAACTCTTGACCTGTTTTGTCCGTGTCTCATCAGTCAGGCTTGCTTGAATCAAGGCTGAACTGCCGATCTGACAGGCAAGGACCCTCCTCTGCATACGTAATGTATCATAAGAGGCTAGCATTGCCACGTTAATATCCCCAAACCAACTCGCTGGTTTATGGGAAATCGTCACTATAAAACTCGCCCGAGGGGTCGTCCACCCTGAAGATGGAATATTGCTGATGCGCAGTTAATACTTTGTGGCATCTTAGGGCCGTGAGATGGCGTTGGCATGTAGAGACATAAATACCATTGGCATTCATGAGGGTGATATAATGTTATGGATGATAGTGATGGGTGTGAATAGTATGGTGCTATTGATGCTATTGGTGGAGATGATGATTGAGATGACAGTGATTATGGTTGGGCACATTCCTTGATTGGCAAAATTTCAATTATTCACTGCTGGATGGCAGGTAGTGGTACCGTATAATTATGTTACGACTCTCTTTACCTGCAGCTTTTTCACAGGTAATAGCAGCCAACTGCATTGTTGCAGCGGAAGTGCTATTATCCATGACTGACTACACAGAAAATACTTTTTTTTTTTACTTCAATAGGATTCTCAAAGAGTGCCACCATATCACAGCAGAATATTTTTCTTTAAATGTACTCAAGATATTTTTAACATTCCTTTTGCCAACCTCAGTGAAATTTTGATTCCCAGAATCTCATCAACTTGTTGAGTTTCACCCAGCTTCCCCAAGCAGCTTGTGCTTGTGATAAATGTTAATCCGTGGTTTATTGGACTTTAGATTGTCCATTATTGGATTCCCTATGATCACGAACAATGTATACCCATGTAATAGGAGGCAAATAGTTCAATTTTTAAATCAGTGTTGTATCCCTTTCTGAAGAGATTAAGGTATCTATTCACAATTTAGATTTTTAATTTCCGAGTCCGCTGGTCACAACTTCTGCTCCCACAATGATGTACAGTCATTCCACCTAGACTTGAAAGTTTGGCTTTCAGACTGAAAAGGTAAAGTTACTTCTCGTGCATTTTCCGCTAAAAAAATATTTCCGTACATATATGAATTGTTATAGACATGCAGAAAATGTATACGATATTTTAGGATTCTATCATGCATTATTGTTCCATTTAAGTACATGTGATTAAGAAATCACCTTTTTGGCTTTTCATTATTAGGACATTTTTGTTGACAAAAAAACCCTGAACATTAAACGTTTCACCACCAAATAGACAACTATTGGAAGGCATCAAGTCCGCATTAACCGCACATGCTTGTGGTAAACAATGCAAACATGCTCTGATTATATGTGTATTGACCTTGAAACTGATTGGCCTACACTAGAGACAGCCTTCTTTATGGGCTTGTCTCACCATTGTCAGAACAGAGAACGCCAAAAAGGCGAATAGCATGAAGGTAATGCATATATCAAAGCATTCTTTGCTCTGGTTGAGCAGTTATATCTGATACTGGCAAGAAGTTCAACATATATATGTTGAAGTTTTTTCGCACCGTACGCAGACAACCACACTAAACTCTTGCATTTATATCGCCCCCAATATGTAACTCAAGTTTAGAGCAGTTTTATTTTTCACCGAGGGGATTCTCTTATTTACAGCTTGTCCCTGTGCTACACAGGGTGAACACCACAGCGAGCTGCAAGTCGGCATTAGTTTGCCAGAAGGGGAAAGTGTTGCTACTGCTTTTTTAAATTCATATGCGAGAAGTGTTTGGAAAATGTGAAACCTGATATTGGCACAGAAGACCTATTCTTTCTTTTGTTATATGCGCAGTATAAACCAGAGTGGCCTGAACTGCAAAATTCCGCAAACGTGCGGCAAAGCTCTGTGCTACTACTCGGCCATGTCACTGCCCCAACACGGAAACAAATCTGCACACACAAGTAAAACTATTAAAACTATTACCTTCATGGTAATCAATCGCACTTTCATGAGATCTGGATATTAGTACTCTTTAGCCACAAATAATAGTTTAGTTTTGATTTGCAAATGCAGTGGACCACAAAAACTCAAGGGTAGTTGTCACAAACTCAATTTTTATTTTGGAAATGTTAGTGTACAAAATGTGACTTTACATTTGTTGAGCCTAATTAATTTGTGATAGATTTTCGCTGACATAACTGTCTTTTCCAATGGACATTTTCATGGGTTTTGCACCAGCACACCTCCGAGCCTGAAACAAAGCATAAACACAGTAATCACTGTGTGCTGCACATTTATCAATATTCAAAATATTCAAATAAAGCAACAATTTACACGGCCAAAAACCCTCACTCGATAACTTAAAATCAATGCATTCAAATGCATAATATAAAAATGTATCGGGAATTCTTCGTGAAAATTAACCTACGAGTTAAATGCACTTACATGCTGATGGATCTCTCAGCCTATGAAGTTGACGACCACTATGTGAAGAATGATGTGGGCAAAAAGGAAATCTGCAAAGGCTCTCTCGGGGGAGATGTTAACGAAGTCTTCCTTGTTGCGAGGGTTAACCTGGATCCGCAAGCACACTGCACACACACATACGCGCACATAAACACAGCACAGTGGAATTAGTATTAATTGAAGCCACATTGACACTTTAAGACTGGTATCAAGAGTAAAGCAGCGCCTCATATGTGCCAATTGCATGCCACAATGCAGACCGGTGATTGATGTATGGGGTCTCCCTTGAAAACTAAATATTATTACAGTGTATACAGTACCTCTTGGAATTGGTGGAAGTTACCCACACTTTACCACAACACACTTTAACCTCATTATCTACGGTGTACCAATGTACATGTCTGGGTGGTCAGAGGCGTCGGTAGATCGAACCAAACCGGTCAACCTATGGATTGCAAGTTCAATGCGATAGCCATTACACTGCGATTATAACATCCACGCCATGGAAAAGGAGCACGTAGATTATTGTCATTATTTAAGCACAACGTAGCATATCTGACCATCGGATATCCACAATAACCAACAAAGCGCCAACACGAAGTGCAATTTATATGCAGGGTGTAGCTATAATTTCGTAGAATATTCGCATATCCAACTTTTCACATATTCGTCTATACATCAGCAATTCCCAGCGAGTCGAATATGCGACGTCGTATTGTATGATGATTCATTGCTGGGAGGGATGTTGGGAATAGCTCTTAAGAGAAAGAAGGAATGAAAACATTGTAGCCTTAGCAGGGGGTTACTAATATTCTACAAACACGATCCAATTCGAATGACTATGGACATTAGAAACCCAGACTCGCAGAGACACTTAGACCCGCAGACATTCGTAGACTAACACAGAACGTGAGGCTCATACAGAGACCCACACGTTAGAAGTTAAATGGGTGATGCTGCTGGTTGAAATGGGAGGAAGCGATGGAGGACACAGAGACGACGGCGGATGTGACTCGAGCAAAAGACGACAGAATAAACGCACGCAAACAGCAAAGCACAACATCATAATTACCATAAATGCGTCAAATCTAATTAATAAAGACAGATAAGAAGGCGAAACGTCTCCGTCATTAAACGAATAACATCACCACGCAAACCGACCCACGGTCCCTTCGTGAAAACCAATCTTCTTCTTGGTTCTTTCGGTAAAGTCACGTAGAAGGGAAGTAATAAAATAATAAAAATAAAACATAATAAAATAATTCTCACGACGTTTCAGCTATAACGCAAGCAGCCGTCTTCAGGTGAAGAATGAGACAATGCCAAGCTAGGAGCTTATATATAAGCTGCGTTGGAGGTGGAAGAAGAGCGCCTTAACAAAAGAATGTGCATATGAAGAGGAATTTAGCATATTCATGGAAACCAATCTTGTACCGTTCGGCTTAGGAGGCTATCGAGTCGCGTGTATGCGTGTGTGTTTGCAACGGGGGAGCGGTGGTGCAGCGGTTAGCGCGCTGCGCTATGAACCCGGCGACCCGAGTTCGATTCCCGCTCACGGCCAACACCAGTGACGATTATCTGAACCGGTCCTGGGCCTCCCCTAGGTCGACTCAGCCTCAAATGAGTACCTGGTGCGGTGTGTAAACATTGCCACTAGGGAGACAAAGGCGGTCGGGCGTGGTGCTGGCCACCCACCCCCTCGTGTACCGTCCCGGCCTTCATAGGTGCTCGCTAACAGCACTTGCCCCTACAGTCTGTTAAGGCTATACGGGGGGATCTTTATCTTTGTGTTTGCAATGCACCTGCAAGAATGAAGGAGCCCACGCAGGAGATGAATCCCGAGAGGAATGAGTTGAAGGGGAAGGTGCCGACGAGGCAGCAGTAGGCGAACTGCGCCAGCCCCGTGACGAGCACGTAGGCCAGGTAGGAATCCACCAGCTTCAGCTTGCTCGGAGTCGTCGACCTGTACTCGTCGTAGAACTTGGACGCGACCGTCAGCAGCTGCGAAGACATGTTTGCTTTCGTGGTCGGATGAGGCGGCGACGGTGAAGATGATGATGATGATCTACGACGAACAAGCAGAGAGGCCCGGTGTCAACCACTCGAGTCCAATGAGGCCACGTCTGCCTCGTCGTTAATGAGGGGGGTCACGAGGGGGTCACCGGGTGACGTCACTGCGGCTCGCCGGCGGCCATATTGGTAAGGGGAAGCGGGTGGGGAAAGGGGAGCGGTGGTGCTGCGGTTAGCGCGCTGAGCTATGAACAACACCCCACAACTCCCCCCCCCCCCCCCCCGAGGTTCATGATTTTCACGGTGCACCAACACCGGCGACGATTATTTGCACCGGTTCTGGGCCGCCCCTAGGTAGGCTCGGCCTCAAGTGTGTGAATATCGACGCCAGGGAAGACAAAGGCGGCCGCGCGTGGTGATTGTTGTTGATCCACCCAGGTGTGCGCTAACAGCGACTTGCCCAAACAGCCTGTTACAGGCTACACGCGGGTGGAAGGGGAATAATTTGTGTTTAAGGGCGCTTGTTTGGCATTGCGAGCCGTGGGGTTCTCCCGTAGTAACATGGCGGCGCACGTGTCACGCCGCGCGCGTGCCACGTCAGGTGCAACGTGGACGGTGCAGAGAGGGAGGTTGGAAATTTAGATCTTATTGGTCACCATGTGCCCCTTATGAATCCCAACGTTCATCCTACAAAAGTCCCATCACAAGGGAGAAACACAAACACAGACATTCACCACTAGTACACTCACCACTGATATTCACCACTACATACCTGTCAACCCCTTATCAGTGCCCTGCCTTATTACAGAGCAATTCTGATCTTATTGGTCACCACGTGTCCTTCTAAATCCCAATGTTCGTCCTACAAAGTCCCATCACAAGGGAGAAAGAGACTTTTTTGTTGCCCTATTGAAACCGCCGTACGCCGTATGGACCTGAAAACTCATTTTCCCCGTTACAAGAATACGGCTAAACCGTATGGGTTGACAGCTGTGCATTTATAATGCTATAATTATAAGCAGTAACTAATTGGCACAGGTTTTGTTTCCGTGACAAGCCTTGCTAAATTGGCTGTGTCCAGGTATTGGGGTTAACGACACTTTTATTTAGGCGATCTCACCCCAACGTTAACCTTTATTACGCCTACGTGGTCAGCTATAATGCTAATTTATTTGTATTTTTTACAGTTAGCGGGGTTATACACGCACACACAGAGAAGGCCGATGCGATTTCCACACACATTTTTGTTACAAATTTGTCGCAGCGAAAAATGTTTTGGTGGCGTATTGCCAGTGAACATCCAACGTTGGATCAACGTTGCCCGCTGTTTTTGTCGTCTTCTCCACAACGAATGCAAAAAAAAGTTTGCAATTAGAAAAAATGACAGCGTTTCGATATTTAACGGCGAATGCGTTAAAAAAATTAAGACGTGTTGTACATCATAAATGAGTTATTTGCATTTTATTTTCAAACAGAATATTTATGCTCCGAATTGCACGGCATTTACTCGGACGTTTTGAACGTTGAAAATATTTCCCTTAAAATATTTAGCGCTTATTGCAATCACGTCATTAGATACATTTGTATTTATATTCGGTTCAGAAATATGGCGATTAATTAAGTTGTGACATCAATAAAAGTATTTTGCATTAATAACCCTAACAATTAAACTCCATAGACACGAAACGCTATTCAATAATCCATAACGTCAGCCTGTTTAATTTTGTAACGGTACTGCATATGATTATGACCATCGTTTAAAATTAATATATCAACATCATTAACCAAACATAACCTATGCACGCTCAACAGCACCGGTGCAGAAGCACATTCGAAACAAATGTAAGATGAATAATCGCAAACAAGAGTTCACGCGTGGAATGCCAAATCGTGTTCATCTGCATCAACGGGGGGGGGGGGGGGGGGGGTCAGGCACAGCCGACGTCGGGGGGTCAAGGGTCACGCATCAGCTGGCGTCATGGCGGCGCCCAGGGGAGCCACGTGGCCCGCGCGCTGCCGCAGTGTGACATGAGGCTGCCCGCTCGTCTGCTGCCCTCGCTTCTCGCCACCGTGCAGCCGCTGCCCTCCTCCTCCTGTCAGGTGCCGAACGCGCTCCTGCTGTAACTGCACTGTCGCTGTGATCACCGGCTGACGTTCGGCTGCCCGTGCAGAATCAAGCCTGAGCTGTGCACGGTCACTCGTCGTTACATGCGAAACATTCGTTCTCGTTCAGTGTGCCCATGCTTTACCGTAACATTGCCCTCCTTGCGTGCATTTGCTGCCGTCCCTTTTTTTTTGCTCGGACGCTGCAATAGATTTTGGTCGGCGCGTGTGCCCATTGTGTTGGCTCGTGCCGCGATTCGCAGCGCGGGTCGCTTGTATGCATCCTCTGTGTTACAGGAGCTGTATGTTTCCCAGTTATATTACGGCCGCGCTTTTTGTGGCCATGTTGTTGTCATGACAAAGAAATCGACATTCTGAGCTCACGCCCAAAGCAACACAACGCCCAATTGTAGAAAATCGTCTCGTGAACGAGATATCACATAACTAGAGGACGTGTACAGTAATAATATGCAGTATTCTAAAACAATGTACATCTCCTTTCTGTTTTCTATTGGTCTCTCTTTGAGATTTCTTGAATTGCTTATTATCCATCCAAGGGGAGCTGTGACTTCGCATATGCCCTGCTGAAGAAGTGGTTGTCGCATGAAAATGAACGCCATTTAGCCCTCAAAGCGGAAACTATGCCAAATTGCTGGTATATATGTCAACCACAGAGGGTTTCAAATTAGTGAGACGCTGACTGAAACACCTTTGCGAAACCCCAAGGAATGAGGCAGAACCCCAATAAATGAATGCACAAATATTTAAATGTGAAGTAGGCGAGTCAACTTTTGGAGGGGAGCGAGGGTGGGGTTACTAAACGAGTTTGCGTACCAGCACGAGGCTAATGATGTCCACCACTTAGTGAACACCCCCACAGTAAATTAAATAATAACAACCTAGGATATGTATCAGTTTACCACTGTTTTCTCATAAAAATGCAGCAGGTAAAGACATTTTGGAGCTGACCATCGACGGCTGCCAACTGCGTACCAATATACTGTGTAGGGCAGAGTGTATTTATTTTCACGTAAACAGAAAACGTGATAAACTCATTGCACGGCCGTAAGACACTCAACATTGGGAATACCATGCATGAGTTTCAAGGGTAATCGTTGAGACTGGCAACTTGACTGAGACTAGCGGACCTGGGGTCAATTATAATGAGAATAATAATAACCAGACCTACGACTGTATTATCTGAAATGACAATCTCATTCTGATTGCAGTTAATTACGCATGGTATCTGTAATTAACGCCAGGCCTTGAGACAATTGATTAGCACCTCCGATTAGCACGGTTGGCTACGTATGGCGCGAAAGAAGTTCAACATACCTACATACGTACAATTGACTTGCCTCAAATGTGAACCCGGTTTAAACCCCGGTGGTTGCCCGCATTTGAACCCAGAATCTCAGCGGTGCCGAAGCAGTGCAGCGGCCGTCCTCGTCCTTGCGATCCGCACAGTCGCTGCTCTTCACATCCTCATCCTGCAGTACATCCTCTGTCGCTGCACCTGCCCCGGGCAGGAGGACAATGAAGACGTTCTGCGGCAGAGCCAACCCGACCACGGGTGCCATGGAGTGGCAGCAGGAGGGCGAAGACTATGACTTCCACCAGGAGATTGCGCGGTTCGAGTTGCACGCGTGCACGATCGATGCCGGTGACACTAGCAATACGATCATGTGATGCACATATATTCTAGATTTGAAGCTTTCGTGACTGCAAAGATTCATATTCTAAGGTTTTTTCAGTAAAGTCACGTAGGTAAAAAATTAATAAAAGTAAAATAAAAATAATAGAATATATGCGGGCAACCACCGGGGTTTAATTTTTGACCTACGTGACTTTACCGAAAAAACCTAAGAATATGATACACATATAATTTGGATTTAAACAAATTAATTATGCTTAAAGCCCAATGTAATGGGTTATGTGCGGCAACCTATCTGGTGCAATTAAGCAAGTTATGGCGGGATTTGGCCGCGTTAAAGCACATTAGCTGGAAGGACATGTTGGTCATGTAAAGACTGTGTATTTGTGCCAGCTACTGTCATCAACACTACTAAACCTAAAGCTGCAATCTGATGTTTTATTTTCATCAGTACAGGAACACCTTGCACTTTCGTATGGTTTGGGACCAGAGCATGGACGAATGTCAAAATTGGACGATTGTCAAAGCAGAGCCTTTGTTTAGCTTGCAAATGTATTTTGGCCGGCGAAAAACGTACATGCAAATTACTAAAGTAAATATAATAACGTTATTGCAAATAACTACAGTAACTATGTAACGCATGCATGCAAAACCTAAATAAACAGAAATAAAAGAAAACTAAACGTAAGAATAAATACGCAAAACTAAATAAATAAACAAAATTATACCTTTCAATATTTTTATTCTTGCGTAAGTGGACGATGACTATATTGGTGATGAGTACAGCATTAATAATATATAAATAAACACAAATATAAGAGATGCTCACTGAACGACTTCTATTCAAAGACTGAACGAAAAAGATGGCGCGTGACGCGAACGTCGTGGAAGGTTTTGGATGAAATCGGACGAAAGAGAAAAGCGCGTGGACGAAATTTAAAATGTGGTTACAATTGAAAACGGCCGAAAGCGCGAAGCGACGAAAGTCAAGTGGACGAAAGTCAAGGTGTTGTTGTACAGTGGTACCCCGGAGATCGAACTTAATTCGTTCCAGAAGGCCATTCGAACACCGATTTGTTCGAACACCGAATTCATTTTTCCCATAAGAATTAATGTAAATGACATTAATTGGTTGCAGACACAAGAAATCTCTCATTATAAAGCATTTTTACACGAAGTTTACAGTAATTACATGCATAAAATCATCACGACCACTAACCTGTTTCGGAGACATTGTGTATGGATAAACACCAAAAAACACTAAAATAAAAGAAATTAACGAAAAAGTTAAGGAACGATGTTTTGCGGGTCTGCACTGGGTGAGAGCTACACGTTAACTGATCCTCTCATACAGTAAAACCTTTGTCTGGGCAAGCGTCATGCACGCTGGCCATACGCGTTTGCCCGTTCGACCTCCGAATTTCGTTCGGTTTCCGGGGCAAATTTTTTCCGGAAATAGCGTTCGAACACCGATTTGTTCGAGTTCTTGTGCGTTCGATCTCCGAGGTTCTGCTGTACTATGAAGTTACACTGTTGGTTGATAAATGTTTTACTGGCAGCGCCTGTGATGGTACATATCTCTGCTTCCCTCATTATCTTTTTCCAATCTTGTCAGATTCACAAATGATATCCACTACAATACTTAAATGAGAAGATTAGTCCAGTGGGACGAGTGGTATCTTTAAAATGTGCATTTGTACGGGTATTTTAACATTAGGCCAGCATGCCTGTTAAAGTGTGTGATTATAACAGACAACATTCTAACATTAAACACATCACCTTTGACAATTGCTGTACTTTTTTGTCTGTTACCAGGTCTTCTTATGCAGATATGCTGCATGACAAAGACAGGGTGAGTAAATTTGCAAGTTCCATTTATAATATGTAAATCTTTTTTTCGATTTAAAGCTTTCGTGACTGCAGGGATTCATATTCTTGGTTCTTTTCGGTGAAGTCACGTGGAAGGGAAAAAATAAAATAATACAAATAAAACAATACATTTATTATTATTTTATTTTTTGTTAATATGTAAAGAATTGTTATGCATCTACATGCAGCCTACCAACAGAAGACTGATTAACTAGGATGGCTTGGTCTTGGCCATACCACAATCTCATAGGCTTTCTTGACCTTAATAGGTACTCGCAGCTACTGTTTCAATCGCTAAAGTAGACCACATAATGGCCTTTGTATGTTTTGTGTGTGCAAACAAGACTATGTTGACTTGATGAAGGCTTGATAATGACCAGTATATTCTCTTAAGTAGTGTGTGCTCGTGTGCATATCTGTTTATGCAAACCTAGAGTGTAGGCCTGTACTGGTCTTAAGAGGAGCTCACTGTTAGGACTTTTTTGGGCAGGTGCCATCGTTGCTAGAGCACTTGACTCACAATCTGAAGGTTGTGAGTTCAAATGTATATGTTGCAAACAGTCCATCATCGAATCAGCGTCAAAAAGTATGCACCACTTTGCAGGAAGTCGACAGTGATTGCTTTACGGATTGACTGGTCACCGCCGTGGGAATGTGCAATTTCCACAGCTGGCTTAGAGCCACCTACGGAAATGAGTGCCAGTCCATTGCTCATTTGAGCAAGGAGGCCATCTGACTCACTTTCAAGTGAACACCGCTCGGGCAGCCTGTAAAGCTGGGTCTCTGTTGTCCTCGCGTCTCAGAACGAGAAGTACTACGCGGGCATCCGAGCGGCCGTGCGGCGTGTTCGAGATCGCGGGCAGCGTGCCGTCGTGCTCGACATCGGCACGGGCACCGGTCTGCTCTCCATGATGGCCGTCACTGCTGGGGCTGACCGCTGCTACGCCATTGAGGTGTCCGCCAACCTAACCACCACCACCACAATCCCATGAACCAATTTAACACATAGGTAGTTTGCATTCGCTTGTAATCCAAGCGGTTTTCTGGGTTGCACCGCATGTTATGCATCTCCTCTCTCAAGCTTTTGCCACGCCCTACTGTGGGCACATGGAGGACATCATGCAGCGCAATCCAGAAAACCGCAATTGGATATTTTTTTTCTTACGAAAAGAGTATTCTCAATAAAACATACTGTGGTAGCCTTTTAACATGTTTTTAAAGCTACCATGGTGAACTCTACATATCATAACGGACACTCAACCCTCATGGAATAAGGTTAGCGTGTGTCCCGACACTCTATAAGTGAGCATTGTATTCTGCTTATCTCCGCTGTTCGTCAAAAGGAAGTGCTAGAATCGTCATTATTTTCGTGTTAAAAAAAAAAGCAACTGATCGCTCGTTCATAATTTGCCACGTGCTGTTATTCAGATGTATTGTTTTATTCTGGTGGGTGTGGTTTCGCAGGTCTTTAAGCCAATGGCTGAAGCGGCTGTGAAAATCGTGGAAAAGAATGGCTTCAAGGACAAAATAAAAGTGATAAACAAGCATTCCACGTCTGTAACCGTTGGAGCCGGTACGAGAGTGGTGCCTGTTAACGTGCGCAGTTAACTTGACCCTGGTACACCCACCACTCAGCCGTTTACCTGCTCTAGCATTAGACACTTTTGTCCATAGAAATTATAGTTGTGTGTACACATTTTACTCGGGGATGTGTGTTTTCTATACAGTTCACTCGTTACTCAGTCTATACGTCGAACTTTTTTTGCAATGTACGTAGCCAACCGTGCTAATCGGAGGTCTCATAAGACACGGTGAACTTCGCGGTATTTTTTTCACAAATCTTCTTGGGTGGTGCTTGGCTCATAATCAAAAGATTGTTCGCTCCGATCCCATTCGGCGGGTGACTCGGCCAATACTGCAGTGTGGCGGCGTACTTCCATTGCAGGTGGAGACATGGAGGAGCGCGCCAACATCTTGGTGACCGAGCTGTTTGACACGGAGCTGATAGGCGAGGGTGCGCTGCCCAGCTACCAGCATGCGCACCAGCATCTGGTGGAGGTGAGGGGCCTACGAACGACCATTTCGCGACCGCGGTCTGTCACGTTCACGGCCCACGCATATTGCCTCGCTTTGCCGTTTTCGCTTTACAGCCCAGCGTGACCGCAGGCTGTGTCCCCGTCGCTTGCCAAAGAGACTTGAGCCTTGGTTTCACGGACGACTTTGGTTGATGGACGAATTGGTTTAAAAAGTAAAGTAGCAGAGTAGTAAAGTAGCATTTCCTTGACCTTCCCGAGTTACATGAATTAGCAGGTGAATTGGGCAGATCTCTTGCAGATGATTTATACTCCTGCTAGGCCCGGATTTCTCTGCTTGACCAATGGAGAGGGCCACTGCATTGGTCAACCCAAGAAGTGAAGTCATCCTTGAGAATTTCAGTTCCTGCGTGAATTGGTGGCGAACTCGAATTTTCCAAAAATATCGAAATGGGCTGCAATGGGGGAATAGGGGGGGCAGAGGAAGGGGTCGGGGGAGTTGGAGGGAGGCAGGGGGTGGGAATTTACGTACAAACTCACGATCTGTGGTTCATCGAAACTGGGCATTACTGTCACAATGGCCTTACACCTGTTATACTCCTAACTGCTTGCTCATGTGTGTGTGTGTGCGCGCGCGTGCCTGCGTGTGTGGAATGCGAACCAACAGAGCGGCTGTGAGGCCGTGCCGCATAGTGCCAACGTTTACGCGCAGCTGGTGGAGTGCCCCACTATGTGGGCTTGCCACAAGCTGCTCCCCGACAGCTCCGTGACGGGCGGTCCTGGGGATGGCGGCGATGCGTCCGCTCCAACGTTGCGCCCACCCGAGGACGTGGTGCGCTGCGGTGGCGCTCCGTCCGTCTACGACGTTCAGCTGAGCCAGCTGTCGCGCGATGAGTTCACGCCGCTCGCTGCCGTCACTCGCATGTTCAGGTGAGGCCTCGCATCACGGGCCTCGCCGCTGTGGTTTGGTTCGATGAGATGTGAAGCCAGTGGCCTGGGTGAGGCTGCTGTGGCTGAGTTAAATTATAAAGGCCCACTGAGCTGTGTAGCTCTTTTTTTCAGAAGCGACCTGGCCACAAATGATAGCTCATCAAAGTGGCTTATTGCGTGGATATTTATAGCAGCCAAATACTCCTAAAGACATGCTGAGTCTAAATGTGGAGGGAAAAGCCGGAGGACCGGGAGAAAAATCCACGCTACCACGGGGAGAGACACAAACTCCAATTATATAGGCGTTAGGGTCAGGATCGAATTCACGACCTCCTGCATACCAGGCGAGGGAGTTAACATCTCGTCACCGTGACATGAGGTAGTGTTGTCTCAGTCAGTGTGTTGAGTCAACTCATTGTGACCTTGTGCTGTGATCGCCATTTAACAGTGCATGATGGTTGTGGTGTCGTGTGACCCACGATGAATAATGTTTGTGTGCATTTGCACGTGTATGTGCCTTTGTATTGGTGTATAACTGTGCATCTTTGTGTATGCGTGTGGATCTTAAAGAGTGCTTGCTAACAGCACTTGCCCCAACAGTCTTGTTAAAAGCTATAGGAGTATGTTTTGTCTAGTGGTTCGCACATTTCACTATGAACTCGGGATTCTGAGGCCAAGGCTGGCATCAGTGGCGAGTGATTTCCGAATTGTTGTGGGCTTCGCCTTGGTCAACTCGGCCTTGAATGAATATGTGCTGTGTTGTGTAAACATGAGCGCTGGGAGACTAAGGCGGTCAGAAGGCTGGCTACCAGCACTTGCTTGACATGGATTCTTTATCTTTTGCGTGCGTGTGTGTGCGTGCTCACTTTTGCGTTATGTGTATGTGTCCACAACTGTCACTAGTGATAGGTTTTTACCCTTTCAACTGGTACAAAAACTGACACCTTTATACAAGGCATCATGTTTGCAATAACCACAACACAAGCAGTCAAAATGCAAATAAAAAGAAACAACTCTGATGATGATAATGATATGCACTGTCCTTGAAGTTGATTGGTCCACACCCGAGACAGCTTTTCTTAGAGCCTAGTCTCCATTGGTGTTGGACCAGATGATGCCAAAAGGCGTACAACTCAATAACAGTGCACTATCAGAGTATTGAGAGCTCGGGGTAAGCATTTACATTTTGAGACCTCCTTTACCAGTGGCAAAATATAGTGATAGGTTTTTACCCTTTCAACTGGTACAAAAACTGATACCTTTATACAAGACATCATGTTTGTCACTCTGTTCATGTGTCTGTTATGGCTATACGGATACGGGGGGATTTTTGTCTCTGTGCATGTGCTCACGCGTTCGCAGCCTGGACTTCAGCAAGCCGGTGAGCAGTGCAGCGGCACAACACACGCAGCAACAGGTGGCCGCAGTGCTCTGGGCTGGGCCAGTGCGTCTTCTCCTGGTGGGACCTGCACATGGACCCCGAGGGGAGCATCGTGTGCACCATGGCTCCCCGCTGGGCCCATCCGACCCCCGACACCCTGCAGGTAATGAACGCTGCGATGTGCCAACTCGTAGCGTCGTGGTTGGTGAGGGGGGTGGGAGGCTGCAGGGTGAGGCTGAGCCCTTTTTAAATTGATAAGTGATAGTTAAGTGATGGGCATCACAGCCTTCCCTCTTATACACAGCGGAGTGAGATCCAGACCAGAATGCACGATGAACAAAAGCGGATCGTATCGTTACTCACGTTAGCGTTTAATAGCTTTCAACTTGTAATGCACCCGCCGCCGCCCGCAGTAGTCGCTCACTAATCTCTAGGAGAGAGAACCACTTGGAGGCGTGAAGAGGCACCACAGGCAGTAGCTCGGCGGTGAGCCAATGCGGTCTCCTATATAGGAGCATAAACCATCACGTGAACTCCGGTCATCCTCGCGGCGGCTTTTGGCTGGCCATCGAACAAAGACGGCCACTGCATCGCACGCTTTCAGATGCGCTTCTGCGGCTGTCTGGAACGCTCTTCCTTCCGATATTAGAAGCCACTGGAGCTATGCACTTTTAAATCACCTATATTGAAAACTCATTTATTTATAACTGCTTTTTGTGTTGAGTTTGTTGTCCTGCACCCGCACCTCCGATGGTAGTGGTTGGCTACGTACGGTGCGAAATAAGTTTAACACACATATCAAGAGGTTTTCAGACAATTAATGAGTGTTTGCTATTTGCGTCATGTTTGTTTAACATTGAGTGTGTGGTGGCCTTTCCCGTTTCGTATGCGCACCCCCTTTGTGAGCAAGGTCTCGCCAAAGGGTTGACCAACTTAGAAATAAAACGTTCTTAATGGAGAGTTGCTTAATGTCCTGGTACAGAACGCTCGAACAAGTAATTTGATGAAGTGTTGTGGTTTTACCATTCAATTAGAAGTTATTTTTCATGTGTTTGTGCTATCTCGTTTGTTTTGTCTGTCTGGTTCATAACGTGATCGTGTCTCATTTGTTTTGTCCATTGCGTACGTTGGGTCTGTCGTGTTTGTACCCGGGTCCTTTTAACTGTGCGTCTTATTTTCACGCTGTGACTTGTTTGCACCGTCTTGTGTCATGTTCGCACCGTCTGACAAGTGTGTATGGTCCGTTGTTTTGTTCCATTATCCTGAATTCTACGTGGGCATAGAAAGTGTGTAAATCGTTGTGTGTTACTGGCACCATTCCATTCACGTATTGTCCTCGGGGCTAACACGGTCATCAGGATTCATGCAACATTTCACGTCTATTGCGACGCAGTGTTCGAGTTGGGAGGTACTTTGACTCGAGTGATGGGTCTGGAGGGGGCAATACCGTGACAATACCATACGCACCTCGAATTAGCACGGTTGGCGACGTACCGTGCGAAAGAAGTTGAACATACTTACATGACTGGGGTGGCACCACTAGAATCCTAAGTTGGCATCCGGGTTTCACACACTTGTGATTAAACCTGTTGTTTAATATCTATGAATGGGTTCGCTGTTTATTTACCATTTTAAAACTGTTCATCTGGAATTATTAATAAAATGGAAATTTCTATTAGGGCTCTCTATGGCCTCGCTATCTCTTTGCTATGAAGAAGGGGCATTGCCTGAAACACTGCTTATATATTTATTTTTTGGGAATTGTTGAGTTTTTTTACTTGTACTGATGCACCACTGCCAATGCAGTATCACAAAATAATTGCAATTAAACCGGTTCTCAATTGTTCAATCAGTGCTGCGTTACATTCCTACCTGCACTGGGCCCACTCCCCCGCCTCCAGCGTACTGATTGTCGCGTGTGTGCGCGTGTGCGCGTGTGCGCGTGTGCGCGTGTGCGCGTGCGCGCGTGCGTGTGTGCGTGTGTGCGCGTGTGCGTGTACCCACGTCGCTGTGGTGCAGTGGAGGGACCACTGGATGCAGTGCGTGTACTTCCTACCAGAAGCGGTGCCAGTCCAGGCGGGCGAGGCCCTTCACCTGTCGGCCTGCCACGACGACTACGCCGTGTGGTACCGCCTGGACAAGCACAGGTGGGGGTGCCGGGTGGAGGGCAGACGTGCAGTTACACATCTTATTTGTGAATGTGATTGAATCTCATTGTGACCACCATCACCGAATAAATAAACTGCTGCCTTGCCACAATGAAGTCAGCATTTCCATATTTATGGTTTTCTAGAAAATGTGTTTTCAGGGTGCAGAATATGGCTTGGAAACTAGAAAACATGATGTGGTGTACTGTGTCTGCATATGCCCCCAGCTAATGGGCGAAATATTCCCAGTTATTCCAGTTTCTATAATCCATACCTCAAGCCATCTAATAAGTCGAGTTTTTAATATTTATGTCACTGTTCCATTCATACGTGCACCTAGTGTCAGACATTTTTATTAAGACTTTCCAACTAAGGTTGAAAACGTTCATGCCGTAAGGTGGTTTCCGTCCGGTAAGGGGGGTGTGGCACACTATAATTCCTTATGAAGGTGATCAAACATGAACGAACCTGTAGCATAGAGAAACGTTGCTGATATGGACATAGCTAATGGGCCAAATAGATCAAAGAGTTTGCCAAAAACACGGAGATGCAAACCACAGCAAAAAGGACTTTGAAAGTGCTAATATTTTTTGTTTCTGTCAGCAACACATATTTCTTCCGTACTGCTAATTAAATCCTTCCAAGGACAAACATGCTGGAAAGCATGACATAATCCATCATCCGTACGGTTGACCTTTTCCTATGCACGACTTTTTTTCCTAACAAGGGAAACCGTTTATTGCCTGCGTGCGCTTGCGCCTTCAGCCCTGGTAGTGAAGGGAAGATTGAGCGGCCGGTGTGCGAGTGCTTGGCTCACATGGTGTGGAATCGACAGCGCTTCAGGGAGTTGAACGACGCCGCCCGCACCTCCACCTACCTACAAGCCCTGCGGCAGGTGCGCCGGCACTTTCCCGCATGTCGCGTCGCTTGCTTCTAACCAGTACTTTCTTATAGGAGCTACTCAGCACAGACTGAACAACGTTCTCCGTTCCATTTGTGGCCACCACCAGTGGCGGTTGCGTGAATTATTTTGTTTTATGCATGAAAGCATCATCGAGTCTCGTGACCTTTTCAGGAAAGTTGTTGCGTGCGCACGCGTGTGTGTGCGTGCGCACGCGTGTGTGTGCGTGCGCACGCGTGTGTGTGGGTGCGCACGCGTGTGTGTGCGTGCGCACGCGTGTGTGTGCGTGCGCACGCGTGTGTGTGCGTGCGCACGCGTGTGTGTGCGTGCGCACGCGTGTGTGTGCGTGCGCACGCGTGTGTGTGGGTGCGCACGCGTGTGTGTGCGTGCGCACGCGTGTGTGTGCGTGCGCACGCGTGTGCGTGCGTGTGTGCCCGCCCGAGTACGTGCGTTTGGTTGCAGGCGTGTGCTGCTAACTCGCTCGCTGCCTCCGCTCTTCTGGTAGGTGGTGCGACAGGACAGCGTGTGCGTGAGTGTCAGCGATGGCTCTCTGCTACCCCTCCTGGCCGCCCAGCTCAGCGCGGAACAGGCAAGGAGCGATTGCACACTGCCCCCAGCTCTGGCACAACGTCAGATTGACACAGGGTCCACACCGGGGGTCTATTTACATGGGTCTCTGTCTCTGTAGGGCATCATCGCTAGTGTTGGGCGATTCCGAGAGGAATTGTATTCAAATCCTGCCATTCAATCCTGTGTGATTTTTTTTTCAAGATAGTAATTCCAACAGAGAAAATCTACATTCACTGAAATGGCATTCCAGCAGGGTTACCGTGCCACCTAGTAACGATTTTTAAAGGGAGTGCGGTATTGTTGGGATTCTAGTCGTTCTATGGGGAATTGTGAAAGCGTGCCATCTATTGGTGATCCTTAGAATTCTCACTACATTCCCACTCATTTGAATGGAGGTTCAGGAATATGTGCTTCAATGAATGGGGATTCCGTGGATCACTCCTATGGGGCCGTCCATAAATTACGTCACGCACCTGGGGGGGGGGGGTCAGACATTTGTGACGATGTGTGACAAAGGGGGGGGGGGTTTGAGAAATGTGACACCACATCAAAATGCGCAGCTTTAAATTAATATAGACAACACGTTCTACTTAATTAAATAGACTTTTTAATAAATGTTTTCTCCTACAACATCAGAGTCAAGCACCACATTAAATACGCACTACAATGACAATAGTTTAAAGCATATTTTTTTTTGGGGGGGTGGGGGGGCAGAGCTTTCTGACGTCATATTTGAGGGGGGGTCTGACTTTTTGTGACGCCGTATGACGAAGGGGGGGGGGGGTCAAATATCGTCGAAAATCGCGTGACGTCATTTATGGATGGCCCCTTTGCTATCAATCACATTGTTTTGAATTGAGACTCCTCAACTTTCGTCTTTCAATTTCACACTTGAAGATTAGCCTGACTGTTGGACAAATATTTGTTATCCTTTTTATTCGTTCACACACCTTTGCATTGGAATATTCTTCATTTATGTTTTCAACCTCACATAAGCGGCCTCAGTTCATCCAACTTGTCAACACTTACGTATTTCCATCCTGTAGTCCTCTGTGTTGCTTGCTGCTTTGCGTTGCGAAGGCACTTTGCTTTGCAGCTGCAATAACAAACAACAGGTTCTCTGCGGATATGTTAGAATTAATCCGGCCAACACTAATGTAGTCTCTTGATCTGTAGAGGCTTGACATAATTTGCTAGTTGATCACTCGTTATTGGCTTTCAGTAAAGATTCCCTCTTGACCAAATGCTTGTGCCTCTCATAATAAACAGTGGATTGCCATTTAAAGCTTTCGTGACTGCAGGGATTTATATTCTTGGTTCTTTCGGTAAAGTCACGTATTTTTATTATTTTCCTTCTACGTGACTTTACCGAAAGAACCAAGAATATAGTGGATTGCCAGTTTGCGTGTCGTGGGGTAAAGTGTGGGTACTGTATTCCCACCTCTTCCAATATCTCTTCGTCAATTTGGAAGAGGGGGCCAGATATCCTCTGGAGGGGCTCTCTGTACGTGAAATAAAAACCGCAGTTGCATTCGTACATTGCTGTGTAAGACGGGAGATATTTTCATTGGCGGCTTGAGTAAATGTGGCCCAGTTTACGGCAGCGACGACTGGCCTTGTGAGTTATCGTTCCGCATTGTAGCGCTAGGTGCATATCGGCAAGACTGCACTTGTTGATCAGATTGATTTGGGTTGTTTTGCTTTGTTACAGATACATATATTGACCCTATTGTGAAAACGTGTTGTTATCTTGTAGGTGGTCTCTGTAGAGATCTCTTCACTGTCAAGGCATGTGATCGAAAAGGTAAGAGTTGTTTGAATCTGATCGTTATTTTATCTGCGGCATTCGGGAATGCACAACATGCTGAATGGCGGCTGGTTGATGTTTTTTTTGTCAAACATAACATGAGATATGAAAAATAAGAATAGGTTTTATCCTTTCTGGCAATACAACAGGTGTTAAAATGTTCAAACGCCAAAAAGATATATATGGCTAAGAATCAAGTCTGCATTGACCACACGTATGCATTGGGGCCCTGACCTCTAGATTTTGTTCATTTTATTTATTTATCCAAGATCTTGCTTTCATTGCGGTTTTGTTGATGGTGGTTTTGCACGTGCTGTACGTAATCTACATATTTTAGCTTTACAGGAAATAGAAGTTGCTGACCACATCTTGTGAAATGGAAAAATTCAAATTGAGAATACAGCTTTTGAAAATAAGGGATTTAAAACATTTCAGTTCAACAAAATGTTTAGAATTTACCAGTTCGATAATAAATAACAAACCACATTGCCCCCCTGCCCCCCACCTGCATCACACGAATGGCTGCCACTTCAAAACCTCCCCATCACCAACCAACAGTCCCCATCGTCCCTTGCGATAGCAGATTCACGAATTGTAACAATTCGATGATTTGTTAAAATACAACAGCGTCTTAATGTGAATCAGCAATCGATTCTCGTATATATTGTTTATGGTTTGTTACGTCTCACCTGCAGTTTTGTATGCCTCATTCACCCACTGCTACTGCAACTTATAGTTATTTTTTTATCACGAGCTTCACCAGATGAAGAAATAAATACCTTCGCAACTGGTGTAATTAAGAACTGTGGGTTGCTGAAAATTGCCCAAGTGTCCCACCAGACCATGCTTAGGATTCTTGCGATTTAGTATAACCAAATGAAAGCAACTTATCGAAGGCCCTATAAGGAGTGGGAGAAATATCCCAAGTCATCCTGCTTGGCTGCCCTGTTACGTGTTGTAGAAACTCATGTGTGTGTTCTTACTCTCATTGCTGCTTGGTTACAGGTGATACGAGCGAACGGGCTGGAAGGCAAAGTGCATCTCTTGGATAAAAGGCCGGAGCAGGTTACTCGCCAAGACCTCCATGGAAAGGAGGTATGAAATGTATATTCCGTACACAATAAAAATATATATTTTTTTACTTTTGTGCTGTTATTTGTTGTTATTGCCCATTTAGAATTTGGTCCGTTTTTTTTTTATTTTGTGGAAGTTGTTTGAATATTGATTATATAGATTCAGATGTTCATTCCTAAAAAGAATGCTCAATGGTTAACATCTGCATGGACAGGAGACTCGTTATCTCATTGGTCTATCCCTATATGGAACCAAACTGATCTCTCAGTAAATTGGGAGAGAAAGATAAATGAGGCCAGCATCTGTTTTCTTGCCAAACATTTAAGTCTATTTCAGCCTGAAAATCAAATATAAGCAGAACTCCATTCTGTGTCTTGACATACAAATAAAATGTCCCAACTCCCAACGGTTTTCCAGGTCAATATTCTCAAGCTGCATTTGTGCAAACAAGCAAACTCTCAACCGGTTTCAACCTTCTGGGTCTCATCAGCAGAGTCATGCTTGTTAAGAAAATGCTGCTGGATTACCTGATGTTATTGGTATGAGCACTTTCTAAAAACGATAGCACCCCCCCCCTCCACTACCTTTAAAGTAACCAGCAATACCAAACAGCCATCAGTCCGTGAGTTTCAAACTAAAAACAAAACCATTTTAAGTTTTTTGTCCTCCCCCCGCACCTCTGTTTAGCTTGGTTGGCTACATACGGTGCGAAAAAGTTCAACATTTCACACACACATCCTAATTTTGAAATGGATACAGTTTGCCGAGTGTATGGGCCGACCAACGGTTGTTCCTCCCAGGTGTCGGTACTGCTGGGGGAGCCCTTCTTCACCACGAGCTTGCTGCCGTGGCACAGCCTCTACTTCTGGTACGCGCGCTCGGCACTCGCGCCGCTACTGCGGCCTGATGCGACTGTGCTGCCCCGCGCCGCGCGCCTCTTCATCATGGCCGTGCAGTTCCAGGTGGGAGCGGCTCGTGGCAACAACTGCTTGTCAACTCGCCCGCTTACTCACTCGCTCGCTCGCTCACCCACCCAACAACTTATCCACCCACCCAGCAAAACAGGCTTGCCAACTCACCCACTTATTCACTTGCTTAACCACCGACCCTCCAACTTATCCACGCACCCACCCAGCAAACTCTGCTTGCCAACTCGCCTGATTCCTCGCTCGCTCACCCACCAACCAACTTATTAATTCGCCCACCCAGCAAACTCTGTTTGCCAACTCGCCCATTTACTCGCTCGCTCACCCACTTATCATCGTATCCTCCCGCCCACCCAGAAAACCATGCTTGGTAACTCACTTGTTTGCTCGCTCGCTCACCCACCCACCAACTTACTCGTCCACCCACCAACACGCTCGCCTACCCACAATGCTCTCACCCACCAACACACCCACCCACTCACACCATCTCTACCTACTCACTCACCCACCCGTCTACCCTCTCACACTTCTACCTGCCCACTTATACCAATTACCCATTCACCCATATACCTACCCACTCACCAACCCACAAAACTATGCATCCACCCAGCGACCCACTCATCATCCTATCCACCTATTCACTCATTCACCCACTCACCCACCTATTACCCACCTGCTATAAATCTCTCCCTTGTACCTCGCACCTTAATGACCCTGTCGGTGATGCCAATTTTGGAATCTGTGAAGTGGGGAGTGCCCTTTTGAAGTGCTCCGTTCTATTGCATTGAGGTCGCATGCTCAGCTGGAGACCGCTGTTATTCTCCTCGCCTCTGTGCGTGCGTTTGTAGGACCTGTGGAGGATTCGAGCACCCATCGGGGAGTGCGAGGGCTTTGACGTCAGCGTCATGGACCACATGGTGCAGGTGCTCGTGCAGTTTCCACCGCACAAATTACATACAATTAATTCTAGATTATTTAAATTTCGATTTAAAGCTTTCGTGACTGCAGGGATTCATCTTCTTGGTTCTTTCGGTAAAGTCACGTAGAAGGGAAGTGACTTTACCGAAAGAACCAAGAAGATCTAGATTATTTGTGGGTGGATAAACCGTGCTCAGTCGCACCTTTTTTTGTTTAGTTCTTTCCACGCATGTCTGATTAGCACGGTAGGGCTACGTACGGTCCAAAAGACGTTCAACATGCGTACGTACGTGCGATTATGTATTTATTAGTTGCTCAGTGACTGGCGCCCATGTGCGTTTAGCACATCAGTCATGCGCCAAACCTTGCACTGCCCAGAGTGGTGAAGTATGGTCAAGCAAACTCCATGACTGACATGGTGAGGTGAGGACTTCATCCAGCAGTGGAGTGAATATTGCTCCTAATTCATGCCATTTGTTTGTCTAGGATGGGCTCACGGTTTCTAAAGACTATTTTCAGGATGTTCCGCATTGAGATGCTTGAGCAATTAACTTCTCAATGACGTTTTACTTGTGGAAGAAATCTATAATATTATGATATGCATTGTTTTCCCGATGGCCAAATTACACGCAATGTGTCTGATCTCATTCAATCTCAGAAGTTAAGCAGGATTGATCCTGGATAATGCTTGGATGGGTGACCACTATGTGCAAAAAATGTGCTCTAGGCTGCTGCGTGGCTATGTTGTCAGCAAATGGCAGTGAAGCAAAAATCCATTGTTGTACTGTACTATGCACTGACTTCTACGCCTCCCACTTTCACCAACACGCACTGAGCAGGCGTGCTTCAGCATGGTCAAATAACACCTCATTAGGACTGACGCAGGCAGTTGGGGGATGGGGAGGCCCTCATCCAGCAGTGGATGGATGAGGATGACCGTACGTGTACCCACGACTCCCCTCTGCGACACGCGTGTGCCCCCCCCCCCCCCCCCCATGTGTGCAGCGCTCGCTGTCATACCGCGAGAGCGCCGAGGCGGAGCCGCACGCGCTGTGGGAGTACCCGTGCCGCGCGCTCTCGGCGCCACTCGCCACGCTCCACTTCCCCTTCACCGAGCTCGTCCCCGATGAGCCCCTCGGTGCCACTGGCTCGCTGCCTCTGTGCCGGTGAGAACGGCGCTGGCTCTTGCCACGTAGACAACTCGGGACGTGCGAGTGCTGTGCCCGCCACCCGAGGTCCACTAAGCCATAGTTAACGGGGTAATCGTTAAGTCTGCGGCTGTAAGAGAGAGACTTTAGGTGCGTTTTCCTTTTATGGTTTTACGGATAAAAATCGATTTGGATTAATGAGAGTTCCGAATTGACCTGGCAATGGGAGTTATTCAAATGTACAAGACTTTAGGGTATGTAACGATTCACACCCTGCATGGAAATTCATTATTTGGAGTGATTCTGGGTCATGATTCAATGACAGTACGATTTTTTGTCTTATTTTTTGTCTTGTTACTCCATCTCCCTGAATGTAACATTTGCATATTATTTTCATATCAGCTTACTGAATATTAAATAATTGATTATTACACACTCAATTTGTGCACGTAGATAAATTGGAAATGTCTGATTTTATGAATCTTTAATTAAACTGCATCTATGTGGCACGGGTTGACACGACGCATCCTGTGTTGTAGTGGCGCCATGAAACTTCAATTCCGTAACTTCACGGAGCCAGGCAATAGAATAATATGCAACAACAGACTCACTTTATAAATTTCATCATGGGCAAGTAAAGATTCTAACTAGGCTTCCAAAAACGTGTTGTCATTGCACGTTTATATTTTTTCATAAATGTTCCGTTGACTTTATCTCGGTGGGCATGTCTGTGCGTTCAGGTCCGGCACGTGCCATGCCGTGGTGCTGTGGATGGAATACCTCCTCACCGATGAGCTCCACATCATGACAGGCTTGAATCAGCCACCTTCCCAGCAGGTCCATATTCGCTAGACAGCACCGACGACCCATGCCAATTCACCTCTCGGGTTTCTGCTACCTCCGTCAGTCATCGCAGTTGGCAGCGGGAACTCTACAGCAGAATCTGTATTCGATTTGCATGACTTAGTTGACAAATGTTGCACCTTATTGTTGTACTAGTTATGTTCGTTACATTTTCTCCTGTGAAAAAACATAATCAGCCATCCACTGGTGCATGAGGCCTCCCCATGTAATTCCTATCCCTCACAGTCTTACAATGCGATAATCCACTTCACATCTACACATGAGCAAATCACGTTTTTCTTCCATAGTGTTCATCCTCTCACGAGAAATTGTCTCCTTCAGCTGCCATTCTATCACCAGTCTCATCAATTGGCCATCTTCCATTCAAGTGATGTGTTCTGCCTGTGTCTAAGTAATTTCATTCGCAGTAATTCCCACCACACAACTCTTCATGCTTATTTGCACGTTTTCAGTAATTTTGCCATCGTCTTCGTGAGTACCAAGGTTGCTGATCAATCATACGTCATTGAAAAATATGGCCTTTCCTTCATGTGTCCGATCACTGCTGGATGAGGGCCTCATCACACCTGCGTGGGTAGCGGGGGTTATTTGGCCACACTGGTCTGTGCGTGTTGGTAAAAGCAAGTTGAATAAACGTTGGAGCGTAGAAGTACAGTGAAATGATGGCGTTTTTGCCACACTGCCATCTGCTACCCACCAATCACCCCTCAAGCCCTATGACAACCTGCTTGGTCATCTATCTAAGCACTAGCCAGGCTCAACTCTGCTTAGTTTCCGAGATTTTATGAGATCTGGCACTTTGCTTGCTCAGAAAAGACAAGACTCACCAAATCTCAATATTCTTTTTGAGAAGCCTTCTTAATTTCAAGTTGGTTATTTTACTTTAATACGTATTTGGTTTCATGTGGGAGGAAACTGGACAACTTGGAGAGGAAAAAAACCCACACACATGAGGGTTTGACTTTTAAAGCACTATACAGAATCAAGAATCCTTGACTCCTACTGCTATCTTTTGTCGACCTCATATGAAAGCCTGGAAGTTTGCTTTAAAAGCTTACGTAAGAATTGTTGCAGAAAAATGCAGAACTTAGAGCCTCAGTATAGCACTCAATGCGCAATCCAACTCGCCAGCTCTGATAGTGGTGATAATGGTGGTAATGGCAGTAGAGGTTGCGTGACGGCTGTGGCTGTGTCGAATCTTGTGTGTGTGCAGGGGGAGTGTGTGTGGAACCCCAACACCAAGCAAGCGGTCTTCTTCCTCGGCAACCCCCGTTCCCTAGAAGAGGGCGACGCCATCAACTTTTCCTTGCACTTCCATCCCAACACTGGAGAACTCAAGACGGTCTTTGCGGTGGAGGCAAAAGCCTCCGAGTAAAACAAAGAAAAATTAATTTGTTGAATCCTGTTGATAATATTAACAGAGGATACTGTTACGAATGCTGTCGGGTGAAAGTGTGATCACAGGCTTTATAGACATGGAAATGAAAATCCATGCAGATCAGCTGTTAGCATGGCAAGCTGGCTTGCCCCCAAGGCCCTCACTGGGGTGTTTCTTTGTTTTTAATTTCGGTGGCTTTCTCAATTTGGTAGCCGTTTAATGAGTGCTTCAGAGCCATCTTTAGAGAAGACAAGAATACATGGGCCACCAATAAACTGAATATACAATATTCGTACAGGAATTATCTATGAAGTTGCAGTCGGCGTTATTTGTGAAATGAGTTATTATTAGTGGTTTTTATTGCTGTCGTTTTAAAGTTTGATACGTGTATGCCAGATCTGGTTGATTTATGTTTATTACATTCCAGCTTAAAAATATTTTTTTTCATCCGACATCTTTGGTGGACTTATATTTGTGTGTGTGTGTGTAATGTTCAATGCATTATGATGCTCGGGAAGGAACAATCCACATTCGTTCAGTTGCCTTTACAGACCACAATAGGTTCATGATTATTAATAACCAAAACCCAAATTATGAAATGTCAAAGAGAAGTGACTCACAAACCACTTCATTATTATGCAACACTAATTCCAGGAACGGTAGTGCCAATTTCTTTGTGGGCACACGTGAGTGTATTTGGCTGCACTTAAAAAAAAATCTTCACATTTTAGTATCACCCAGTAAGAACTACTAGTTTACCACGAGACTAGATTCAATACCAACATTTCCCTAGTAATTTATGAGCAGTGGACAATTATGCATGGCTAATTAACCAGCTTACAATGGAAGTCCAGTTTACCATGGAAGTCCAGTTCACCAAAGCAGTTTAGTTCATGGAAGTCCAATTCACCATGGAAGTCCAGTTCACTGTGAAAGTCCAAGTTTACCATGTAAGTCCAGTTCACCATGGAAGTCCAGTTCACCAAAGCAGTTCAGTTCACCATGGAAGTCCAGTTCACCGTGGAAGTCCAAGTTCACCATGGAAGTCCAGTTCACCATGGCCAATATTCATCCGGCTAGTTGTGGTTTCACAGCACCTGTCGTTCACGTGAAACAAGTTCTTTGGCGTCACTGCGCTAATTCTACTGCGCTAGTTGGTGGTACACAACGAGAAGAAACAAAACTCGACAATCATTCGACCCCCCCAAAAAAAAAACCGCTGTAACCTTAACAAAAACATCTAATCAGCTGTCAATCCACATGGTTTACCCCGTATTCTTGTCACAGGGAAATGCAGTTTTCGGGTCCATATGGCGCACAGCCGTTTCAATAGGGGTGAAACAAATGGTCTATTTGTTTCTTCCTTGTGATGGCACTTTTGTAGGATGAACGTTGAGGTCACCCCGTGGTGTCCTTATAAAACTCAACATTTAACCTACTCACGCCGGCTTGTACCCGCCCTCGCAGTCGGGCATATTTGCGGAATACACCACGCCGCCATTGACCCTGGCCATTGACCGAGCAACCCAATGTTCCTACCAGCTCCCTCCGCAGTAATGTGTTTTATAATTCAATTGGAAATGACAAAACTAAGCCCTGAAATACTCTTAGGTTTTTTTCGGTAAAGTCACGTAGGTAAAAAATTATAATAATAGAAATTAAATAATAAATCACGACGTTTCAGAGGCAACACAAGTCTCTGTCATCAGGTGGGACCGTCAGCTAAATTTACTGTATCAAGTGAGGCAAAATTTCAAGATACAAGCTCTTAAATAAAAGGGGGAGGGGGGAGGGGCTTATCTGAATGTGGTAGCCAATGAATGGAACGTGTTGGGGGGGTGGGCGGGGCTAAAAGAGAACAATAGGTGCACTTGGGGTTGTAACCGGTGTTGGCTGACAAACCAAATACAAAGAACAAAAAGGGGGAGTACTGTTAAACGCTGGGGATGTCAACACTCGGTAAGGTAGAATAGTACCTGTCAAATAAGATGGTCCAAATATGTGTAGTTAAATATCTTTTACATGGTTAATAACATCTTTCCAATGATTACTCAGTTTGTACCCATCATCACGGTTGAAGTTATGTCTGTGTTTGTATATCTGGATGGCTTCGTGTACAAACCTTTGATGGGAGCCAGAAGGTTTGCAGAGTACCTTGGTCTCGGAAAAGACAATATCATGAGAGCCCACAGTGTTGTAGCAATGATCGGCAACGGCGGAAGACTCAATTTTGCCGTGTTTCAGATCTGATTTGTGCTCGCGGACACGATCAGAGATATGACGTTTCGTTTCCCCATGTAACAATCACCACAGATGCAACTCAGTTTATAGACTCCAGGGTATTGCAAGTCAGGAATGACATATTTTACAGATGGGATTAGATCACGGATTTTATGTACTGTACTGAATCGGACTTGGATCTTGTTTGTTTAGAATTTTGGAGATCTTTTTGGTCACGCCTGCTATGTATGGCAAAGTGATAGATTTGATCGGAGTTTCATGTGGCTGTTTCTGTATGGTGGGAGAAATAGCTTGGCGGATAGTGCGGTCAGAGTATCCATTCATCTTAAGGGCCCGATGTACATGTTTTAATTCACTGGCCAGGTGGTGTTGGTCAGAAATGCCATGAGCTCTGTGGTATAGTGTTTTGATGAGATAATTCTTTTGAGACGGGTGGTGGTGGGAATCAGGTTTCAAGTAGGAATCTGTGTGGGTGGCTTTCCTGTAGACAGAATGTCCCAAGGATCCACCAGGTCTCCTCTCAAACAGAACATCTAAGAATGGTAGTTTGCCATCTTTCTCCACTTCCATGGTGAATCTGATGGATGGGTGTCTGGAATGTGATGTGGTCCAGGAAATGGTTCAACGCTGGGAGGCCATGTGGCCAAATGACGAAAGTGTCATCCACATATCTCTTCCACAGGGAAGGAGGCAGGGTGGACGTCTGGATGGCGTCTGATTCAAACTTTTCCATGAACATGTTGGCTATAACTGGTGACAAGGGGGAGCCCATAGGGGTACCCTCATTCTGTTTGTAGAAGGTACCATTCCAGGTAAAATAAGTGTTGGTGAGGCAATGCCTAACCAGCGCAGGTACATCCGAATTCAATCCATGTTGGAGCAAGTCTTCGATTATTGTGAGGGTGTCAGGCACTGGGACTTGGTTAACAGAGATACAGTACCACTCTTGAAACCCAAGAATCGTCGGGCCAGGGCGGTGACGTCAGGCGCGCACCCGGAAGTTGGCGATTGGCGCGAAGCCACGTGGGGGATTGCGGGCAGCAGCAGCAACAACAGTAGCAGCAATAACAGCAGCAGTAGCAACAGCAGCAGTAGCATTAGTAGCAACACCAGTAGCAGCAACAACAGCAGTAGCATCAGTAGCAACACCAGTAGCAGCAACAACAACAGCAACAGCAGCAGCAACAACAACAATAGCAACAACAGCAACAACAACAGCAGCAACAACAGCAGCAGCAACAGCAGAAGCAGCAACAACAGCAGCAACAACAACAGTAGCAGCAGTAGCAACACCAGTAGCAGCAACAACAACAGCAGTAGCAGCAAAAACAACAATAGCAACAACAACAGCAGTAGCAACAACAACAGCAACAACAACAGCAGTAGCAATAACAGCAGCAACATCAACAACAACAGTAGCAACAACAGTAGCAACAACAACAGCAGTAACAGCAGCAAGCGAGCAGCTGACGCTATTGTTCAGCATAATCGCGACCTGCGCTAGTTACACCTCGCGTCGTCGACATAATAACAACTACAATAGTAATTGTACGCAATCCCTAGGGGGCGATTTACACCGTTCGCTTGCGAGGCGGAGGGGGGGCACCGTTTTGGCAGCAGGACTAGCAAACATCGCCGCCTTTGCTTGCTGCTCTAGCTGCTGCTGTTGTTGTTGTTTTACACGTGGCGGTGTCGTTGTTGGTTCTGCTGGACTCATGCCTCCGGTGCGCTGTGGTCGTGGTAAGTCCAAGTCCTGTGCTGCACGCGTGTAACCCCGATTGAGTAAGTTGTGGTTTGTCGCCGTGCGAGGTTGAAGGTGATGATGGTGATGGTGGTGGAATGACTTAAGTCTCACTCGTATGGTGGATGCGGAGCAATGACGACTACCAATTCACATTGGGGTGGTCGAGGGCGATTTAATAAAAACGTCGTCAGGAGGAGTTGTGGATAGGGCCCTGACCGTCGGTTCTGGACGACCACAGTAGCGCACAGCACTGGAGGGTTTTTTATGATTAATTATGAATGTGCCTTTCGTGCGTCGGGGTAGACCACGAGGAAGAACGTTTCACGAGGGAGAGATCCTCTCCGGTTGCTGTACCACGAGTGATCGACGCCACGGGCCGAGCCAAAACGAGTCGGCCTTCCTTGGAAAACGCGGGAAACCAATACAGTGTGGTCCACGTGTCTTGTGTCACCCCCACCACCCCCTCTACCATTTGATAATTTTGAACAGTTTATTTACAATTATACTCTTAGGTTTTTTCGGTAAAGTCACGTAGGTAAAAAATAAAAAAATAGAAATATTAGAAATAAAATAAATCATTGCCCTGTGAGCTAAGAAGCTTTTGAATCAGGTTTCATCAGCAAAACTGAAAAACTAAAATTCAAAACAACGTTTGCAACAGGTCGCATAAAAATGATGAATACAATAAATACAGCAATGAAAAAAGTAAACTAATTTAGAAAAAGTACAATATATTACTTAATTATAAATTAAATATGTAAGCAAACTGAACATTAAGATTAGAGAAACATTGCAAAATAGTGCATCTAGAATGAGGAATAAGAATCGAAAATATATTGCAAAACGAGGAACAGAAACGCCTTCGGTAAAAGTCTTCATGTGCAAACGACAAATTCGAAGTAACACGAGTAATCAACAATCAGCATGACATTGCACACATCACAACAGAACAGGAGCCGTATACATAATAAAAACAACTTTGCATATCATCTACTTGCTTCAGCAGTGGCAGATTGGTAGGAATGCACTTGACAGAAGTGATTTAAGATGATTGAGGAAAGGTGGTGGCTAAATTAAGTTATGTGCTGATATTATTGCAGAGACTTGGGGCGGCCACTGAAAATGCCCATTTACCAAAACCTTGTTTTGTACCTGGGAACATTCAACAAAAACAATGATGAGCTGCTTAGGTTAGGTCTGACATCCCGTGGTGTCAACAGTGCCAACAAATACTCTGCCGAATTCGAACTAAGGACATTTTAAATAAACAAAGCCTGGTGAATAATTCTGCGATCATGGATGGATGTTAGGCCAGTCTCTCTATATAAGTCACAATGATGAGTTTTATAAGGGGCATCCAGAGCAAATCTTAGAGCCGAATGATATATTGATTGGGTTGGGCTTATTTAGCAATGAATTTGATGCAGACTGATTAACAACGTTACAGTAATCAAATAAAGGCAGTATAGTAGCCCTCACTAACTCAAGACGAGGTTTAGCTGGGAAACAATGTTTATGCCTATAAATAAATTCAGCTTTAAATTTTACTTTTTTTCAAATATGATCAATATGATCTTGGAACAGTTTAGAATCTATTATGAGCCCAAGGTTATTCGTTTTGTCTACCTTGTTCAATAAGTTTGTTTTCAATGCTCTAAAACTTAACGTAATTTTTTTTTAATGTAAGGTTTATCTAAAACAAATGCATATGCAAAGAGGATTTTTGGGGGGCGGGGGCGGTCACAAGACATCTTTACTGGACGTCTGTGGAAAAAGAGCTTTATAGCTCATCAGATTTCACCATAAAAAATTGATCTGATCTGGACCACCCTGTGCTGTGCGAACAGCGCGCCGTTGAAACCACACGAATCGGTGTGATTCCCCCCACCCACACTGCCCCCCAAAAGAATATAAATAATCACATTTGAGATTCTGAATTCCTTAAAATGCGAATTTTAAGTCAAGTCCGTTACCTTGCCTATAAGTTACGTTATTGCGAAATTGCGTACGGTTTTAGTTGCCGTATAACGGAGTGACTGCTATTCTTTTGATGCGCACTCATGCAGGTAGATATCAGGTAGATATCAGGTAGATATCAGGCCGTGCATGGTTGTATGTTGAACTTCTTTCGCACCGTACGTTGCCAACCGTGCTAATCGGAGTTACGGACAAACTAAACACAAAGCATTTCCAAAGAAATTCGTTTTCCTGAGAAAGCAGGTAGGGTGGTGATGACCTGTCAGGGACGCGTGTCCATACCTGTCAACCCCTTATCAGTGCCCGACCTTATTACAGACTAATTCAGGCATTATTGGTCACCACCGTGCCCTTATACATATCAACGTTCATCCTACAAAGTTCTATCACAAAGGAGATAAACAAAAAAAATGGATAAAATAATTTCCCCGTATTGAAACGGATTTTTTGCCATATGGACCTGAAAACGCAATTTCCCTGTTCAAGAATGCGTGCTAAACCGTATGGGTTGACAGCTATGCGTGTCAGCAGCAGAGGGGCTCATTGTGCCACACGATAGACACCGCTGTCGCCAGGTTTACGTCTGTATTGTGGCGAACGCCTGCAGGCCACCGTTTTTGATGAAAGGGTTGGTGGGTCACGTAGAGGTTTGTGTAGCCTTCACACCTGCTGGGCTTACCAGGTGGCTGTATAGCGGGTGGTATCGTGAACCCGTATGTGAACATGAGTGCTTTAGTATCGTGTTTTCTTCAGGTAAACTGGTTATCTTCCATACGAAGAGAAACACTTTTTAGCCAAATGCAAATCACTTAGTGTGAGTTTTATGCCGGATTGCATTGTTGATTAAACACAAACCTACCCACCTGATGACAGACGCTTGCGTTGCGCCTGAAACGTCGTGATTTATTTTATTTTATACCTACGTGAATTTACCGAAAGAACCAAAGAGTAAGCCATCTGGAGTTCCTGAGGAAGTGCTTTGTGTTTTTAAGGAACTACACTGGACCAACTTCCATATTTGACACGGCATGGGGAGGCCTCCAGCAGTGGATTTACAGGACTAAATAGAAAATGTTAGGGTTTAACATTTGCAGGCCTTTATCGATAAGATCCCGAATGTCATGTCAGCCATGGATGCTTGACCATACCGCACCACGCTGGTCAATGCAGGGTTAGTGAAGTGGAGAACCAGGACAATATATCACGTGTGCTTTACTTCGAGGGAACTCTGATACAAAAATAATATTAAACATCTCACAAGGAATTTAACTCAGGTTTCCAGATCCAGGGTGTGGTACGCAAACCACTACGCAACCACTGCACCCCAATTATATTATCTACACAACTTGTCCATTATTCCCCTCATCACTTACTTTGAAGTTAGGATTTGAATGGACGAGGCATAAGCCAGATGTGGGGATGCTGCACGTGAGGTAACCCGGCCTGGAGGAGCTTTTGTTCGTTTCTCACGTCTCGTTTTGACACAGCCCCAAGTAAGGGTTCAAAGAAAGCCCCGGCTGGAAATGCATTGAACTGGGTTGGCCGCTGGTACTGGGAGGACGATGGCGAGAACTGGACTCCCTACTCGGACGAGCAAAATGAGCTCATCTGCAACGCCTTCAGGTTTGTGGCACAGCAGCAGTCGTGGTGGCGAGTCCCAATTTATGAGGCAGGGTGGTGAGAATGATTCCTCATTGCACTGGCTGCTGACCCCATGCATTGCAATATTGCAATCAAAGCTGTGTGGTAGCCACCATTCTCAATTATATGAGTTTCTTTCTCCAGATAAAAACATGTAGCAATACAGTTACGATATAATTTGGATCCTTAAACGTGATTGCATCTCTCAATGCCAGACAGAAAATAGTGGGCATAGTTATTTTATTGAGACGGGCAGTCAGTCTTAGAGGAAACAAGGAAGGTCCTTTATTTAGCTCTAATATAGGCAGGAAGTCGACAGCATGGATGGCTGGGGGAAAGGAGTTTCCAGATTGGGGTTCGCAGAGTAGAATGAGCGGTGATTAATATCGTAATTTTTGATTGTACATGGGAACCCCGATGAACAGACCTGAGTTCAATTATGATTACAATTTCAACAACAGAATTTGACATTAAATCACTGTTACAATCACATTGCGATTGAAATTTCAGCATAATTACAATTATAATTGGTTCTTTACCCTTCTATCTGGCAACAAAACTGACACCTTTTTGCAAGGAGTCATGTTTGCATAGACCGCAATACCTGCAGTCATAATACAAACAAAAGAACATAACTGTGCACATTATCAGAGTTATGTTCTTTTGTTTGTATTATGACTGCAGGTATTGCGGTCTATGCAAACATGACTCCTTGCAAAAAGGTGTCAGTTTTGTTGCCAGATAGAAGGGTAAAGAACCAATTATCATATTTTTACTGGCAAATGAGGTCCCCATAGTATAATTACAATTGTTTGACCAGACGTCAGCTGGTTAATATGTCTATGCCTTTATATGAATTACACGCTCAGTAGTGGACCAAACAACATGTACAATGCAGGGCGGTTTGAATCGGATGTTGCGCACAGTTCATGCATTGTCAGACACTTTGTGATGCTGTCACAATGTATTTAACTTCATGAGACGAAAAGAAACCCATTGAAAATGAATGATTGATAAGCACAAGTTGCGTTGTGTTGCCACTGTTGTCACAATAGGACGAGCAAGAAAACTGTCTATATAAAGCTGGCCTCTGGCATTGCCTTCAAAGTTATTTTCGACAACATGGTACAGCAGAACAGCCAGTCTGCATTCAAGAGGAGGATCCGGCTTGCATTGGAGGATGGAGATTTCTGTAAGCACTTGGTTCTACAAATTCCTACCATCTTAAGTTCTCACCTGGTTAAACAAATAAAAACGTAATCTTAAAAGCACCGCGACACTTGTGTTATTGGCTTTTGAACACACATTCCTATCGCGTGCATTTGCGGCCAACGCTTACCGCGTTTGAGCTTCGCAGCTTATCGTCGTGCCTCTTCGAAGCCCAACATCCTCCCGTTGCCACCAAGGTGTCCGCTGCCATCACCTTCTCTCCCTTTCGCTCCGCAGACGTGTGGGAGTGGGAGGCAGACGGCCCAACGTGGGTCGTGTACGATGCGCACAGCTGCGTGGAGCTGGAGGGCGCCCACCGTGCCAAGAGCGCGACGCTGGACCTGAGCACCGGTGGACACGCGTACCGGGTGGACCTGAACGCCCTGACGCAGACCAACGTGGCCACGGGCACCGTTCGTGCAGTTCGGCGGCAGCCAGGTTCGTTGCAAAACGCGGACCCGGAGCCTTTATGCACTGGATTTGTTGGTTCTAGTTTTGTATCAATCTCATCCAGGCTGTCCTTGCACGTGTGTGGTATTTTTTCACGAGCATTTATCTAGGACAGGGGTCGGCAACCTACGGCTCCGGAGCCGCATGCGGCTCTTTACGGGCTGCTTCTTGACGATATGTACGTATGTACAGTATGTACTCAGATGCATTGCGGCTCTTGAAATACTGAATTTTGTACCGAATTGGAAAGAAATGGCTCTTGTTATTTTGGTTGCCGACCCCTGATCTAGGAGTTCCCCCGGTGGCAGCTGTGCCTCTAGCACCAATTTAACTCGTCATCGGCTTGTAAGGTGGCATGTTGCAATGAGGCTTCAATGAAATTAAGAGTAATTGATCAAATTTGACAATTTCCAGTGGTTCTCGTTAACACTTTGGGGTATTTACCAGACTTTGCCATTCACCCACAGTTACTCGCCCCTCGCTGAATGTTCTTTATGGCCCACGTCTTTTCTAAGGGGTGTGCAGCCTGTTATGTGCACAGTCTGTATTGGAAATATCCTAGCTCCCCACAGGTCGAACGTGATGTCACAATTGCCTCCTGTTCACAGCAAACGGCTCGCCGATATGTTCGGTGTGTTTTCACTCATCCCTGATTTTTACGGGCTGATGAATACCGCATCGCGGGGCTGCAAATTGCAGACCCCTTACTTGGTCTGTCTCAAAGTGCCGCGCCATAGTCACTCTCCCCGCAAACCACACCGCTCGACACAGACCGACTTAAGTAAATAGATGCCACCCCTCCCCTTTTAACCAGAGGCCATCCCTCCGCTTATTATTTCTTCGTGTGTGCGACGCAGTCGGTAAAACAGATACAGATGCCAATCCGGGCGGGAGCCAGGGAGCCGAGGGCATCGAGGTCAAGCAGGAGGCAAAGCCGCAGGAGGCAAAGCCAAAAGAGGAGGAGGAGAAGCAGCTGGAGCTGCCCAGCTCGACAGAGGGCGGAGGAGCTCCGGTTGGCGGCGCTCGGGCTACGCGGAGCGGCGTCAAGCGCGGCCGCCAGCCGTCACAGCCACCGCTGGAGTCCATAGGTCTGGGCAACGGTGACGAGGAGTCAGACGCTCCACCCAGCAGGAAGCCGCGCTCGGGCAGGAAATCCGTGAAATCGGAACCCAAAGCTGCCCCGGAAACGAGCGAGGGGAAAAGTGACACGACTGGTTCCAGTGAAGGTGAATGGTCGTTAGTTCATTGTAAACATACCAGTGTCAGACCCTTCCTCTTTTTCCAAAATGTAATTCTTGAACGCACGTGACAATTAGAACAAAAACAAAGGTGCACTGTACAGGTGTACAGCATTGCTGATAGGCGATTTATCCCAAATCAATAATTGGAATCGAATATCTTTCCCAGTGGGACGATTGTAACTGCCAGTATTTCCTATGATATATTGGCAAAGTGTGCAATATAGCGGTGATGCTTGGAAATTGCCACTAAAATACCATTATTTTGAATGGAGATCAATGAATTGCCATTCAAATGGAGGAGGTTTCTATGTATGATTTTTAAGCTGGCAAAGAATCCCCTTCATGGAAATAGAGGTTCCTGCTGTGAACAGCAATCGTTTCAAGTCGTAGGATCGTCCAATAAAATGCTATTAATTCATTTTCAAATAAATGGGATCATAGTGGCGATTGCAAGGATTCCAAGGATCGCCACTAGATGGCAAACTAATCCCATTAGAGTGATAGGTTTTTACCCTTTCAACTGGTACAAAAACTGACACCTTTATACAAGGCATCATGTTTGCAATAACCACCACACAAGCAGTCAAAATGCAAACAAAAAGAAACAACTCTGATAATGATATGCACTTTCCTTGAAGTTGATTAGTCCACACCCGAGACAGCTTTTCTTAGAGCCTAATCTCCATTGGTGTTGGACCAGATGACGCCAAAAGGCGTCATTTGGTGTACGCTTTTCTTAGAGCCTAGTCTCCATTGGTGTTGGACCAGATGATGCCAAAAGGCGTCATCTGGCCCAACACCAATGGAGACTAGGCTCTAAGAAAAGCTGTCTCGGGTGTGGACCAATAAACTTCAAGGACAGTGCATATCATTATCAGAGTTGTTTCTTTTTGTTTGCATTTTGACTGCTTGTGTTGTGGTTATTGCAAACATGATGCCTTGTATAAAGGTGTCAGTTTTTGTACCAGTTGAAAGGGTAAAAACCTATAACTATTTTGCCACTGGTAAAGGAGGTCTCATAGTGTAATCCCATTAGAATCCAAATCAGTTAAATGGAGAGTGTAGCATGGAGATCACCCATAGTAGGATAGCGATTACTGCAGAAATCACCTGGACTGAACAGCATTGCTGATTTAATACGTCGGATTAACGACCAACGTTACGATTCATAATTTATTTTTGGGTCAGATCGCGTGAGTGCGATGGCAGTGTTGTGTCATAGAGCCTGTTTCGCTCAACACAGCCAAATAAATAAAGTTGTCATGTGAACAAACAGACCGGTATGTTGATCGGTGGTTTAACAATTAGGTACATCGTTTCTCTGGTAATTACACGCAGAATCATTAGACAATTGTTAATGTTACAACACCTGTAGTAAAAATGTCTTGTGATTCACACACACAGATGAGCATGAAGTGGCAGGAAGTAATACCTGGAGGTTAATGTGTTCATTAATTTATAATACATTACAGTCAATGACGATAAACTATTTTGTTAATTATGAAGCATTGTTGATAATGTAACAATGTCGGTAATGACGATGCTGACGGCCGTTGCTGCCAGCAGTGGTGAAGACGATCGTGATGAACGGGAGGGCTCCCGTGGACCCGGAGTGCAAGGCAAAGCTGGGCAAGGTGAGACAAACACCTCCATTTCACTGACATCCGCTTACAGCCAGTGCCTCTCGTCGAATATTTCACATGCTGAGGTCAAACAAAAAAAAAACTCGGCCTCGCTCAGCATCCCACGTGTGCTCAAGTCCTAAGTAACTTGAGACAAAAAAAAAGTTAAAATATGATAAGAGTTTTGTTTGAGGCAGAGTTGGTGGGTCACACAGATTGCATTTATGTATCGATTCCCAAAATGTGTGGGTCGTGATGTGGCTGGCAGATGGCGGCACAGCAAGTTGGTTCCTGCAACCCATTAGTGTCGTGTGTGACAGGCCCCTGACTTGGCAGGGGCCTCAGAGAACCTCCGGGATTATTAGAGATGGCAGTAGAGTTGCAGTCCCTTGAACCTCTTTGAGCAGAGCTTTAGTTATCACCCCCTTGTGTGCATCGTGAGTTTCGTGCGAGTACTCTGGATTCGTTTTGCATGCCGAACGCTCATCCGTGGAAATTGGCCATATATGCCAATGCGGGGCCCTGCTGAAAAGAAACCTCTCGCTGAGGCTTTCTCAGGTTGATGAAGTCCATCCATTTTATTATATCTGTATTAAAGTGGACAATAAATCAAAACGGTACCGCGTTTTGTGACGACGATGTTTAATCTGTCTCAGGCGCACGTGTACAGTGAGGGAAACAACGTTTACGACGTCATGCTCAACCAGGTGAGGCCCTCGCTCATTAGCTCCTGCTTTCACCGAGCAATCTTGTCAACTGGCAGGTGGGTGAGGCAGTACAACAAGTAGGGTTATGATATACTATCCCAGAAAAATGTATGTGCCTTGCTCCCTTCTATTAGTGGGCTTGCTCTGGACTTTGAAGTTCCCTTCTACATGAACAAAAAAGGAAATTAAATCCAAGAAAGTCCTTCCTGTGCATAGATCACTATGCCCTGTAATTTCCTTTTATCACATTGGTAATGATTGGTTCTTGCTCATGGCATTGGTATGAGAGGCCATACATTGCTCATATGACTCGGTTAAGTTGAACCTATTGCTGGTTTGCTTTGCTGTGAAATATTAAGCTTAACGGGCCATTGGTTCATATATTAAACATGAGAAAGCTTTAGTCCTATAACAAATCTTCGAATAAATTATTTCTATGCATATTATTTCACATGTCACAATTCATCTCCCCTGCACCCACCCCCAATTCGATACATTTTCACGAATTTGGGTGACGGTTGTATTGTGGTGTAATTTCTTCTGTCTCGTATGTACTATATCGTCTGCCTCTTTGGTTCCATTAGCCTAGAGGTAACGTTTGCACTTAACTCGCATTCATCATAGATACTCGGCTATTCTTTTCTTGTTTAGGTGCATGCATCATTAGTATAATAGTGTTTTTTTTAACCAAACTAATTGATGACGCGTCACATGCCTAACAGCCAACCTGTACGACCACTTGCCGCGAGTGCGCGTGACGCGCCTTGCACGTAGCATGGCACGTAATAATAAATAAATTCCTTTGCATGCAGACAAATGTCGGACTCAACAACAACAAGTTCTACCTGATTCAGCTGCTGAGGGACAATGACATGAAGAGCTTCAGTGTGTGGATGCGCTGGGGGAGAGGTGAGCAGCTGCTCTTACCGCTGTCCTGCTCGACGTTCTGCGTCACACGCCACGCTTTCGTCTTTGTGCAGTCGCTGTTATGGTGGGAGCAGTAGTGGTAGCGGCTAGGTTGACTCAGCCTCAAAATGAGTACCTGGTGCGATGTGTAAACATCGTCACTGGGGAGACAGAGGCAGCCGGGTATGGTGCGGGCCACCCACCCCTTCGTGTGCCGTGCCGGCCTTCATAGGTGCTCTCTAACAGCACTTGCCCCTACAGTTTGGTTCAGGCTATACGGGGATCTTTGTCTTCTTTGAGTGGTGGTGCGCTTCAAACCCAGGCACCCTGAGTTTCATTCCCGACCGTGGTGAACATCCGTGGCGAGTGATATCTGAACAGGTCGTGGGCCCCTGCTTAAACCAGCACTGACCAGCATTGTGAAGTATGGTTACACAATCCCTGTGTATCGTATGCCAGTGGGAGGCCTTCATCCAGCAGTGGACTGACAAAAGGGCTGTAAATGATCATTTAGTTCATTGGAGTGCATCGCACCTTAGGTTGCAAATTCATCCGCACACACCCGCCTGCATTGCGAGGCCCATCACGATGTTGACTTTCAAACTGCAGGCAGCGCAGTTAAGTGGTGGTCACTTTGTCGTGTAACAATTCTCATCTGCTTGGGTTCCATTCTCAAGCCTTGCACATCGAAAAAATGAAATCGCTGCCGCTTGTTTTTCATCGGTCGCGCCTCGATCAACTCTGCCCTGAAAACACGAGCTCGTTGCGTATGATCCGTGAGATCGAGCACTGATTACGGGTGAATGATGATGATGATGATGATGGCAGATGGCCTTGCTGATCTCATCGTCACCAACTTCAACGGGACATTGGCTAAACGGGGCTTTGACTTACGACTCGGCGAGGCTGCGAGTGCGATGCCTGCTCTGTCGCCTTCACCCTTGGTGTTTGCGTGCGCGCGTGCCTTGCAGTCGGAAGGGTCGGAATGAATTCCTTGAAGAACTGCAGTAACCTGTTGGGCGCCCGGGAACTGTTTGAGGATAAGTACGTGGGGAGCACGCACGCCACAACTTTCTTTGATATTTTAAACATCTATAAATACTATATGGATTTTTTCCCATTCGGTAGAGTTTACTATTTTTTACGTTTGAGTATTAATGTGACGACGGTGCTTTTGAGCGTGCAGATTTGTGCCGTAAAGGCGCCACCACGTGTGTAAGCAAACGTAACATTTACTTGACTCACTCAACACGCTCGCTAATCCCTCGCGCTCATGCACACACGCACGCTGCCCTCGCCTGGCGTTGGAGTCGCGTTAAGAGTTGCGTTGACGGTGCACGTTCAGGACCCTGTGGCCAAAACGAGGTTTCTAATACCGCCTTCCTCTTCTCCGCATATGACTGACCCATATCTCCATCTGTAAAGTAATTCCAATCGCACCTCACTTTAAAAATAAATAAACGGCTTTTTCGTTCCTGGAGTGCGCATCGCGATTTTTCAGAGGCATTTACACACTCTTTAAGTCAACATTGTAGTTGTATCTATATGATGAAAACTGCTTGTGTTTGGTTGTATGTCTTCTTTTAATGTACGGATAGGCACAGGATATGCGCAGAGGACCAAACACCACGGTTATGTTTAACACGTAGGCTTTCGCAACCAATATTATTCACAATAAAGGTTTTTGGGTTAGATCGCGTAAGTATAAATGTGTCATCCTGGGACTCCTCACCCTGAGCTCTCATTACTCTGATAGTGCATTGTCTTTGTGCTGTACGCCTTTTGGCGTCCTCTGGTCTAACACCGTTTGAGACGAGGCTCAAAAGAAAGCTGTCTCTGGTGTGGACCAATCAATTTCAAAGACAATGCATCTATTATCAAAGTATGTTTTTTGTTTGCATTTTGACAACAAGTATTGTGGTTAATGCAGACTTGATTCCTTGTAAAAGGTTTCAATTTGGTGTTGTAACAACTTAACACCTGTTTTGTTGCCAGATAAAAAGGGAAAAACCTATTATAAATTTGGCATTAAACCCGCCACCCCCTGACACAGCAATTTAGTAAGGTTTGTCACGTAAACAAAATATGCCAATTCGTTGCTAGTACAGCACACTGGTGTGTTGGAGAGCAAATCCACAACATTTACAATCTGAGTACTGGTCCAATGTTGCTGTTGGTTGGTGTCTTGTCTTGAGACAAGGAATCTGTATCTCCCACGGAGCTGTACGTTCGATAACGTACCACAAACAGATTTTTTTTTCCTGCAGTTATTGGTGTCCAAGCTGACACAAACTCGCGACACGTGAGGACCCAGTTTTTTTGCAGCAGGTAGCTGAAATCCAGATTTGAACCCCGGATCTCACCCTTGTGCCAGCTCAGTACTCTGACCCCTAAGCCGCTGAGGCCAGTTTGTATTTCTGCATTCTCGATGCTTTTATTGCCAGAAATCTCAAGAGTTGGATAATGGGACAGGACACTTAATCTGCTGTGAAATAAAAAATGTGCACCTAATAACAGATGAACGTTAAAGGCGAACCTCTTGTTTGCACGCAGATTTTTACAAAAGACAAAAAACGAGTGGAGCCAAAGAAGTTCATTCCAGAAGGTGCCCGGAAAATACGACATTGTACCCATTGACTACAGCACCGACGCCATGGTAAGATTCCACAATGGTAAAATGCTTGTGTGGTGATGGTAAAGGCGCTTGCTCGTGCCACTGCCGGCTGAACGGCTTCCATTAGAGGGCGCTCTGGATGAGAACCTCTCTAAGGAGTATTTGGCCTAATCTTCCACACTGGGCAGACATCTTGGAAGAGGGGGGAAGAGTACCCACACTTTACCGCACCGCACACGAAACCTCAGAATCAGAATATTTATCCTGCAGTAATCCAATGAGCTATAAATCTATTTTTCACAGACGTCCGGTATGGTTGCCGATTGACTGCTGTATCCATTTCTACTGCTGGGTGTAAACAGAGGTGGGGGCGGGAGGGAGTTTCAGAAACGCATTATGGCTGCCACAAGTACCGTGCGGTAAACATCACAGCACGGCAGCATCCCGCTTACGGTGGTGTCAAATATTGGGATTCGTATTTGATGTTTGGGTCAGAACGCCCGTGTGAGTAAAATGTGGTGTTGTGCATCCTCCTCCACCCGATAGCCAATGAATAGAGTTGTCACGTGGTGTACAAACGTGCCGATGTATTCTTACTGCTTCAGCAGCAACGCCAGTGTTGCTGGAGAGCGATCTCGCGACACTTTACGTTTAGGTAGTATGAGGTTTTGCTCATAATTGCAACTCGCATCATTATCAGACCTTCGCCAGAAGAAAATATACATTACTGCCATTAGTAAGGATGTATGTCGAACTGCTTTCGCACCGTACGTAGCCAACCGCGCGAATCGGAGGTGCGGGCGAAGGACAACAAACTAAACCGTTCTAAATCTATTAGTTTTCAATCAAGTCGCGTGTTTTTATACTACCATACTCGTAACACTACTTTCATGTCGAATTGAGCCTTCGCTCGCCTGTCTGTGCGATGAGAAACGCTCCAGTGACGTGCATGCCAACCAAGCAAAGTTCCTTTACGTACGAGGATGACCGCTTAAATTTGTTAACAAGACGATATAAATCAAAAGACTTGAGCGCTGGGCTTTTCCGTTCTCTCCCCCCCGCCCTGTCGAGCAGCAGACGACCGAGACGGACGGGGCCCAGAAGCCGCCGCCACTGCAGAAGCAGTCGCTCCTGGACCTCCGCGTGCAGAACCTGCTGGAGCTGATCTGCAACGTTCGCGCGATGGAGGAGACCATCTTGGAGATGAAGTTTGACTCCAAGAAGGCCCCGCTTGGTACGCGGGTGCCACGCGGGTGCCACGCGGGGCGGACGGGGCGGGGTAGATGTCTCTGCCCCGGGCACATGACTTTCGCAGACGTCGGCGAACCTTTGTTATCGAAATTAATTTTAAGCCGAAATCACGTTCCATGCTCAAGTGGATGTGAAATAGCGGCCATCTATCTCTTCACTGGGCCATGAGAAGAATATCCGTATTCTCCTGGTCGGGAGCCAGACCTTTTCACCGGTGGTACTCATTTTATTTTCCATGGAGAGATTGAGGGTTCACTGGAACTTCGACTGACGCTTCCTTGTGAAAGTCGAGCTCTCAGCTAACGGCACCATTGGGCCTGGTTTGACTTATGTAAATCTCGACACTAATGCAAATTTGAATCAATTGAAGGTGATATTTGTTGAGATGTTTTCCTCGGATATACATCGTGCCGGAGCCTCTGAGCAAGTACCGTTGAGAGTCACTCGTTTTACACTCGTTTTAGCAATGTTTTGTCAAAATAGAAAAACTTTGAAGGATGTAACCCAGTCACCGATGGCTATATACACCCTAATTGAGTTTTAGAATGATACTGGACTTAGCGTAGACTTGACTTTCAGCCGCTCTCTTCACAGCATGCACGAGCGTCATCGAGCATTAGCTGAGTGGCCGAGCGGCCGAGCGAAGAGAATTGAGAAGGAAATTGTGTGTTGACATCGTCCTGATCAGTTACATGACATGATATCAGCCTCGATTGACTGTGAGAGTTCCGGAAAACGGCGTGTCGCCAAGTCTCGCTATAATTACGATTGGACAGATGTGATACAGTTGGCGATGGTGAGCAGCAGAGGACAGTGCAGCAGCATCCTGTTGTTGTACTTCACTTCTGTTATCCCGCACCTTCTCTCCATGCACTGACCAGGGTGGTGAAGTATGGTTAAAGCAAACCCCAACCACACACAGGTGGTAGCAGCAGCAGTCTGTTCCGCGGACAGAGCTTGGCGGAGGAGGGACGCGTGCGCTTGTTGCTTGCAGGCAAGGTGACGAAGGCGCAGATCAAGGCTGGCTACGAGTCGCTCAAGAAGATTGAGAGCTGCCTCAAGAGGAACGTGTTCGGCCGCGAGATGGTGGACGCCTGCAGCGAGTTCTACACGCGCATCCCACACGACTTCGGGTGCCCTCCTCACAACTGGCCACTCCTCTCCCACTCACCGATCACACTGGTCAACACAAAAAAAACATTTTTTTCTGGCCTGGACTTTTGCAGCTGCTTTATACTTATTTCAGGGTGCTGATTCCAAATCGGATCTCAGATTTGCTCTATCACATCTCATTTTTATGCTATCGGCATACCCCATTTTCATTGATTTTACCCGAAATTAACTCTTGTCACTTATGATTGCAAGTTGTTGCGAGTCAGTGACTTCTTTAGTGTTAAAATATGGTGCTGTATTTTTAGGATAGTGTGTTTATAATATTATTTTACGTAGATATCCACATTTATTTAATATGTTTCTTCTGCAGTTTTTATTGCAAATGCAATATTTGATATCTGATGTGATAGACAAAAACTGATGCCAGATTTGGAATCAGCACCCCAAAATTACCTTAAAACCGTTGGAATACCTTATGCCAGAAAAAGTGTGTTGACCAGTGTCATCAGACCCACCCGCCCCTTGCAGCCAAACCCACTCCTCGCACTCACCACTCCTCACGCTCACTGCCCCCTCGCAATCAATGCTCCTGGTACTAATCCACTCATCGCCGCTCCTCACTCACTGCTCCTCACCCATCGCTCCTTGCAATCAACCGCTCCACACTCCCACGTCTGCCCCCCATCACTCCTCACACCCACCGCTTCTCACCACTCCTTGCACTTTCCGCTCCTTGCGCTCACCGCTCCCTACATTCCACCGCTCCCTACCACTCCTCACGCTCACCATTCCTCACCTGCTCCTCAGACCCACTGCTCCTTACTGTTCCTCACATCCACCGCTCGCTGCAAAGGCCTTTCGCAGTTTAAATTCGTGCTGTGTGTGAACATCAGTAGTGGGAAGACAAAGGCGGCTAATTTTGTGTGGCGCTGACATCGCTCACGTCTCGTGTGCCATGCCGGCCTTGATGAGTGTCCAGTAAAATCGCTCTCCCCAACAGTCCGTAAAGGCTTCACGGGGAGTCTTGCCTTTGCGTAACGAGTGTGTGTGTGCGCTTGAGTGAGTGGCTGTGAGAGTGGACGTGGTTATGAATTCTCGAGTCTGTGTTTCACCAGACCCTTCACCTCTCTCACTCTGCAGCATGAAAGCCCCTCCACTCATTCGAACTGAGAAGGAACTGAAGGAGAAAATTCAGCTTCTGGAGGTAAGTGGCGGCATGCACATTATTATGCTTGTTTAACCAGGTGTCTCATGACTCTTTATTTCACGATGGTCCTGCAAAGTTTTTGCAGAAGTGGATGATGCTTTATTTGCATATTCCAATTGCGTGATTTGCGGGTAGTTTTTTTTAATTGGGTCAATTTGGACCATGATTGCCAACACACGGTGGACTACTCTTGCAAATTACGTCATGGGACTTCTAACCTCAACTGTGAAGCGGGCGGCGTGCCGTGTTTTTATGGTCAATACACCCGCAGTATTAATCCAGGCGGCCGTTAGATTTTAACCGTAAACCTCTGCATCAACTGGCAAATGCGCTATCGCGAGGCCGTGTTGCCCGCCCGAGTGCAACAACCAGCGCCCTCACTGCGTTTTCTCAACACGAGTTTTGAGGCCACAAAATTGTTGTGCATTTGTGTGTCTCTGTCTCTCTTTGCCTGTGTCTGTCTCTTTCTCTGTCCCTCTCCATGTCTCCCGGTGTGTCTGTCCATTTCTTGTTTTTACCCGAGTGTGTTTTTTTGTTTTCCTCTCTCTGTATTTCAAATATATGTTTCTCTCCGTGTCTCTTGAGTATGCCAATCTGCTTCTGTCTGCTGTGCAGTTTTCTGTCTTTGTCTCTATGTCTCACTTTGTGTCTCTCTCTGCATGTCTCTGCATATGATTCTGATGGCGATACCCCAGGGTACCAAATAATACAAAATGGACGAGGCAATTAAATATTTTATTTCTGGGACACTATTTTTTTCTCCAGGGGTGTATTTAACTCCGCGACTGGGGTACCAATCAGGGTTGCGATTTCCGCATGGAAAATGCGGAAGGAGGGTTCAAATTTTTCCGCATTTTTGCTAAAGTCAACCGCAAACGGTGGAAAGACTACTCCTATGACCGCGCGCTTTTAACAACACGTTAATGCGTTCTATTGGAAAGGATACATGCAAGGCCCAGCATCACGTAGGGCTTTGAGTTACTGATTGGAATGAATATATGATTTCCGCATTTCCGCACAAGAACCACATACTTTATTCAAATGCGGAGCCGTGATTACGAGCACATGTACATGATGTATCCTTTCCAATAGAACGCATTAACGTGTTGTTAAAAGCGCGCGGTCATAGGAGTTGTCTTTCCACCGTTTGCGGTTGACTTTAGCAAAAATGCGGGAAAATTTGAACCCTCCTTCCGCATTTTCCATGCGGAAATCGCAACCCTGGTACCAATCAATCCGAAATAAGTGCTACTCCACAATGTGGAAGCGCAAAACATCGGCATAACAAAAAATCCGTTATCGAAAAATGTTACTTTGAATAGTGCATCGTGCACAGCTCGTCGAGATGAGTCGATTGCGGCATCGCCGACTATCAGAAAATTACTGCATCACGGACATTATGCGAGAGCCGGGGTACTATGGTACCCCGGGGTACCGCCATAAGGTTCATATCTCTGTATCTCTCTGTCTCCCTATCATTTTCCACATCGCTCCCTCTGTTTTCTCTATATATAGAGCTTTCTGTTTGTGCGTGTCTCCTCTCTGTGACGCTGTCTTTGTATCTAGGGCCCGTTTTTTTCCCTTGCTTGCACAGAATCCCACTGAGTGTTGAGACGACCCCGATGACGATGATGACAAGAGCCATTTAATCCGCGCTGTACACGTGTAGGCAACACGCATCCTGCCTCGTCAGAGTAGTCTCTCCGATGATGAGGTGGAGGGGGTTTATTTATTCGGTTTGGCAAGCGGACTTAAGAGCTCCCTGCCCGCGTCGATGACCGCAGGTGCTGAGCGACATCGAAATCGCGATCAAGTTCATTAGATCCGCGGAGCAGACGGAGCACAGGCTGGACCAGTGCTACCAGGAGCTGCATTGCAAGATGACTCCTCTGGAGAGGGACCACGCCGACTTTAAGGTGAGGCTTGAGAGAGAGAGGGCAGCCGGGGAGATATTTGAGACGTGCAACAGCTATTATTATAGTTATTAACAGACAACTCTGCGTGCTTGGAATTACCGTTGAGAGAAATAAGAGGGCGTCAGAGTGGTGCTCGGTGGCAACACTTGTGGCTCACGGCAAGAAGGGCCTGGGTTCGATTCTTGACCTGGGCACCTTTCTGTGTAGAGTTTGTATGTTCTCCCCCCCCCCCCCCCCCCCCCGGTTCGGCATGGATTATCCCTGGGTTCTCCAGTTTCTTCCCTTAGCTAAAAACAAACAACGTTATTGTTTCCTCCCATGAGTCATCGGACTCGGTGTGACTTTTGTGGGTAAATAAATACTTGTTGTTCTAAGCAAAGGCGGAGCCAGGATTTTCAGGTAGGAGGGGGCAACCCCTCCAGCAATGAAAAATGATAGGAGTTGTTCGTAAGTAAGGACTTGTCCTTTGCTTTTTATCCGACGCGTGTGCGGCGATAGCACAGCCATCGGTCGAGGATCGAATTGCAACCGTGTGTGATCGGTATCGCGCTCGCTGAAGGCCTTCATGGAAGTCGTGTACTGTATACGCAACTGCACACAATTCTGAGTCCCTTATAACTGCATTGCCGTTACTTAATGCCAATTATGGACTCAGACTATTGTCTTATCATCTCATAGAGTCCCTGGCACGTAATAATATGCTACACAGTGGCAGTGGGGGTCACAAAATGCCGATTTCTTACTAATAAACCCCAATGATCCGATCGAAATTAGCGATTTGGATCGGATCATTGGGGGGGGGGGGGCACGTGCCACCCCACCCCCCCACTGGCTCCGCCAGTGGTTCTAAGGAGGAGAACGTGGATTAGAGACGTGATATTGACCGTTAAGAAGAAATACGTGCGTGGATTTACCACGTGATAGTCGCTCTCCGTCGCACGGCAGCCCCTCCACACCCGATGTACGATCGCCCCCCTCGTCTCCCCCCAACACCCACCTCCCCCCACCCCCCAACCCCACGCCACCGCAGATGATAGAGCGGTACATGACGTCGACTCACGCCAGCACTCACAACGAGTACTCGCTCAGCATCCTCGACGCCTTCGTGGTGGAGAAGGAGGGAGAGGCGGAGAAGTTCCTCGCCGACTACGGGAACCGGTCAGTTCGCACGCCCCAAGCGCTCGCGGGTTGTTTGGTTTCTCGGCGAACAATTCAAGTCGATTGACATGAATTCTCACGCGGTGCACTCGTCGAATCGGGCGCCTCCAGAATTGTGTGGTTTTTTTACGGGTTATGCAAATTGTATGCTAATGTGCTCTTCATGCCAGGAATGGGCATACTTTTCCCACTAAGGGCCAAAAGGACTTTTAAAGACCTTCGAGGCAGACAACACATTACTACACACATCAATGACTTCAGTCTCAGCAGTGACCTGGTGTGCTAAAAATTAACCCGTAAAAACAAAGTTTTTCACTATAAATCCTTTATATGCGTGTTCAATGGGCCACAACCCAGCCCACATTGATCTTTGAAACGGGCGGCTAGAGTCCTCTCGTCCTCTGGCTTGAGATGGCTGCCACCTATGGGTCAGATGATTGTCTGCCACCATTAAGCAATTGGTAATTAAATATAAAAAAAAAATTCCTAAAAGGTGTAAAATACATTGTCACGCACAACGAGTCTGTGTGCAAAATGTCAGCTCGATTGGATCACGGGAAGTGGGTTAAAAAACGACCGAAAGATTTGCACGGTCGTAAGCAAGCAAGCAAGCAAGTTAACTTAATATAAAGGATTTAAAAATAAGAAATGCTGTGCAGTGCCACCAGGTTAACGATATTCGGATTCCTCTAGTCTAAATAAAGATTCTGATATTCCCCTCTAGTACCCGATTAGGGCGGCTAAAATGCTTGCTAGTGGAGATAAATATGATTTGCAAGTTGTTTGAACGCACGTCATTTTCATCCCCATGGGTCTTGGGTTTTCCAGCCCTGCTTTAGGCCAATGGAATAATTGAGACATAGCAATTGAGGTTTCACAAAATAAGACCCTAAAGTTAATGGTTTCTTGAATTAATTCATGACCCCAAATTAATCCACTTTATGGAATCGTGGCAGGGATTGGGGTTGGTGGTGAGAATTGCAGCATTCCTGCTCTTTTGGGGTTAAAGGGCTGCATTTACAGGGGCAAACGCTCAACATTCGCACAAGGCTTCTGTTTCCGAAAAGCGGTTGGGTAATCCGGGTGATCTGCCCGACTCTGTGGCCTCGGTGTGGTATTGAGCCCACTCTAGGCCCTGGAGGTGCGAAACGCGTTAAAACTGTGGTGGTTCCTACTGCTGTCACGTCCACCTGTGCCCTGACTCCTTGGTGTCGTGGCCACGTTTCTGTTTTGGAAGAGCAATCTATTCCTCAAATGCAATGTTTATTTACTCAAGGTCAGGTGGCTTAAAATGATGAATCGTAATTCGAATGTCGATCGCCCAGTGGCTTTATCTGACTTTTCTCTACAAGTTGGTAATGGTACATTCCATGCAGCTTCCCAGGATGACGGGTCTGATGGAAGCCCAGCTCTGGTTCATTATTATTCAGATTATCATCTTCACCACACGTTGCTTCCACATTCACATTATCGCTCGGATTTTTTTTTGTTACGCAGCATGCTGCTGTGGCATGGGTCGCGTCTCTCCAACTGGGCCGGCATCCTGAGCCAGGGCCTTAAAATCGCTCCGCCAGAAGCTCCTGTCACTGGCTACATGGTGAGTGGCTCAGCCTTCCTTTTTGTCCCACCCTGTCTATCGTCGGTGACACTTAAAAGTTGGAAAGGCTCTGTTTGACACTTTCCAATGGAGGTTAAAGTGTTCATGCACTAGCCCTGCCCATCTGTCTGTAATGCGGGGTGCACAATAACTCTTAACAGAAGATTAAATATAAACAGCACTTTAGTATAAACCTTTGCTGCTAGAGAAAAGCGGCCACATTCATCAAAGTCACCAGTGTGTTGACAACAGGAGTGCATAACTCTGGTCCTCACGGGCACTTGGTGTCTTCCTGTTTACATTCCAAATGAGCTCTCCGTTACTGAATTGAACCCTTGATTGAAATATTAATTTGCTCAATGAGACCCTTTTTTATTCGTTTTAAATGTTAAAGTAGTTGGAGATTCCAAGTTATATATGACACCGACAGATTTGCAGCCCTTGAAGTCACGAAGTTGTACAGCTCTTTACAAGTTCCACGTGTATGTTGAAATTCTTTTGCACCATACGTAGCCAACCGTGCTAATCGGAGGTGCGGGGGAAGGACGACACCCGACTATATTCAACAACCTTGGCCGCTAGTTTGTTATCCTTCTCCCGCACCTCCAATGTCATGTGTGTGTCGTTCCATTTGTCGTGTGTGTGTCGGACTTTCCCAGTTTGGGAAGGGCATATACTTTGCAGACATGTGCTCAAAAAGCGCCAACTACTGCTACACAACGCAGAAGAAGAACGTGGGCCTGGTGCTGCTCTCTGAGGTGAGCGTCGCAACGGGCAACCATATCTTTTGCTGCTCGATTTAAGACCGGAAGCAACAGGAGAGCTTCACCATTCTTGCCCGATGAAGCTGATTGTAATTATCAGCGAAACGTCGTACTCAAATTTTAAAATGCTGTTGATTTTCTCTTCAACACACCGGTGGGCTAAAGAAGTGAATTATTTTGTCCTTTGAAAAACGTGACACATGTTTTACTGTTTGGCCGTGTCGGGTGGTGGAGGGTTACGACACATTTATTAATAACGCGATCTAACCCAAGAACCTATATTATGAATTTCTCGCTTGACCATGTACGGGCCTTGCTCAATCCACTGCTGGATGAGGTCCCTCCCCACGCCTTGCGGGTCGTGCAGGTTATTTGACAATATTCGTTATGCTATGTCGGTGTAGGTTTGGCCAGAAAAGCCTCACCGAGTTTCAAGACCCGTGTAAGAATGTCTTGAATTGGAATGTTTGAGCAGTTCCATTCATGAGTGCTCGGCATGTGGGAGGAAACTGGAATAGCTGGACAAAACCCAGCACACACACTCGGAGGAATACACTCAAAGGTTGCTAATCTATGTGATGCACTAACCATTGCCTGCAGTGTGCTAGATAACAGGCACCCGTACCACTACTCCTGGCACCTTCTACTTAATGTCTCAGTGTGCTTCAGTCCAAGATCCTTGTTTTTACGTGTGTGCATACAGAAGTGGTGGTTAGTGCGCTGCGTTACAATCTCCTTTGTCGCGTGTGCCTGCGTCACGTTCCGAAGTTGAGCAAAATTTGATGAGTGACTTTCAAATTGCGTGCTTGGGTATGAAGCCACTTAGCAACATCGCCCCCTCCTGGCAGCATAATCCTCTCTTGCAGGCCGGTTGCTGCATTCAATTTGTGCTGCATAACGACAGCTGCCATTGGGTGGGGGGGGGCTCCCCCTTGGCTAGGCTGCCCACATCGAGGTGGTAACTGCGGTGTAAATGAAGTGAGGATGATGATGATGATAATGATGATGATGTTCCGTCAGGTTGCCCTCGGCAAGTGTGCCGAGCTGTTGGCGGCTAACGATCAGGCAGACAAGCTCCCCAAGGGGAAGCACTCCACCAAGGGGCTGGGGAAAGTCGCTCCGGACCCCAGCAACAGCGTCAAGATGTAAGAGTGCCACCTTCCCGAGTGACCAGAGAACTAGGCAGCCGCGAAAGGCCGGATCGAAAATGTTTCTCCTGCCGCCGGTGGGAATACTTGATGGGTTGTCTCGGTTTAGACGTTTGATGTTTGGGTGTTTGTGCTGAAACGTAGAATTGTTAAAATGTGCTTATTTTTGGCTTTTCCACCTGGTGAAATCGCACAAATCCAGGCAAGCCAGTCTTTAAGTAATCTGAGCTTCTTTGAGAAAGACATTTTAAGAGAGAAAGTTATTATTTTGTGGATATTGAGCTGTTCGTGTAGTTATTGAAAAACCAAAAAAAACGTGATAAATACGGTGAGGCACTCTGTCATAGCACTCGTGATGTCACTGCGTTGCTGTTGCATTAAAATGTATAGGATTGACATCACAGTGGCATCACTACAGCCTGCTCGTGAAATTGCCATCGTGTGGTTACAGTATTTTCCTAATACGTCACTGCAGCAATCTCGTTGCAGCAAAGGATGTAAAGGCATGTTGGGGAGGCCAAGACACACAGCTTGGGGTACTTTGCAATTGTGCTGTCGCTCGGCAGAGAGCACAATCGGGACACGATTGGCAGCAACTACTTACAGATAAAGTTTAAACAAGAAAGCTGATTTGAGCGCTGCTTGCCGTGGGTGCGTGCAGAGATGGCGGCGACGTGACGGTGCCGATGGGACCCTCCACAGAGACCAATGTCACCAACCCCAGCGGCTTCACCCTCAACTACAACGAGTACGTGGTGTACCGGCCCGAGCAGGTGCGCATGCGCTACCTCCTCAAGGTTAGCTTCGACTACAAACCCATGTGGTGACGACGAGGGGCCAAGCAGGCAAGACTGTGGCGACCCCCGGCGGTGTGTGCAGCAGGAGAGCGCCGAGGATTGTGGGAGATTTTGTCGGGTCGGGGCGGTGATGTGGCCGAGCCGTAGCGCGTTGGCCAATCGCTTGTAGCTGTTCACGGTTTGAACCGGGCAGGCTGCCCTGGTTAATATTGCGGGCTTGTTAACCATGCAATACAACGTGCCGTCTGCCTCACATTGGACGTTCCAAAGGTCCCGTGACGTCGCTTGAAACGAGTAGGCCGTTGTGTTGCCAGCGTCACGGTCCAAATTTACCAAATAAAAAAAATGTACTCGCAAATTATCTAATTGGGATCACACGTAGCAGTCATCACCCCCTACCGGCAGCCTCCTGCCCATTTGCAGGCTGGTGCCAAGTCACCTGCTGCACTGGGTCATCTGCCACTGGGGGTGCCTTTGAATTTTTGAGAGGTTCTTGAAGTTCGAGGCATTGAAGCAATGCCATGTAAATGAACAGATTATTATGATCCATTTTCTGCGAGTCATAGCGTCTTCTTCATAGCCCTGTGCAATAAAGGCACGGATACCAAATGTATTAACGATTCGATTATTTGAGCTGGGTGGGATGGGAAGGAGCAGCCAGGAAGCACTCAAGCTCGCATTGCCACCTATCTTGATTGTTTCCCAAACATCCTCTCTTTGAGGAAGGTTGCTGTCCTGGGAAATCTGTAAGTTTTCCCAGGAAGAAAAAAAAATTCTGTTTTTGTTGTTGTGTATCGTCGATGCTATTATGTGTAGTTCTACCCGCTGATGGCATTGTGAGCAGATTTATATTTCCAGATTTTGTACCTCAGAGGTGGCAACCCCTACGCTCGAGTGAGTAACAGAGGTGGCGGCATTACAAGTGAGCCAGCGATCGCATAAAGAATATTTCTTTAATTTCACGCTTGTTTAGCGAGAAAAGCCTTGCCGAGTCTCGAGACTTTTCAGTAGGATCCAGCCAAGTTTTCACATTTGAGGATGATGTTGCAATGTTTAATCTAAAATTTAGTGATTTGCAGTTAATTTTTTGAGCCTTGTCGGTTACGTTTGTGTGTTTTTGTTACCTCTTGTTGACCCTTGTGTTTAAACTGAATCCGATGCCTTGCTACCTCAATGCCAAGGTCCCATTCTAGCGGAGCGCCTGTTTACCCTCATCGGCACGCTTGTCTCATCACACTCGCCCGTGTTGCAGAGGTCGCAACCGGGTACCCAATACCCATACCCTACCCGATACCCAGCTACCCGTACCCGGCCAGGTACGGATACGGGTACCCGTTTGCGACCCTGGTGCGGCCGGGTGCGGGTACGGGTAGGCCGTGAGTCACTGGTGAGTCACCGTTTGTCACTCATTTCGGGTAGGGTACAGGTAGGGAACGGGTACCCGACCGGGTGCGGGTACGGGTACCCATTTGCGACCCTGGTGCGGCCGGGTACGGGTAAGGAATCAAAACCCGTTTGCGACCTCTGCCGTGTTGTCTCCGGCTCTTCTGTCGCATTTCTTTTCCGACTTGGGAATTCCGTCCCGCAATTGATTTTCACAAATTCCTGATGCATAGCCTTTTTTGTCAATTGAAGGAACGTATTACGGTAATTGTATCTGCCACGCTTGTCGGTAGTTTTGTTGCCTCTGACTAAATCACCAGGATTGCGTCTAGCCTCGTCAGATCTTGGAAGCGTCGCAGATTTAAGCCTGGATAGCGCTTGGATGAACGAGCTAGGTGCATAACAGATATTATAGGCTTTCGCCGGGCTATGTTGCGGGCAGCAGAGGGCAGAAATCTAATGTTGTACTGGTAATCTATGCTTCCATTCTGTGCGCCATCATTGACCAGCGTGGTGAAGTATGGTCAAATAACCCCCACAGCCCCGGCACAGTGTGAGTAGGCCCTCATCGTGCAGGAAAGGCCTGTACGTGTACTGTCAAGTGCTCTCTGTTGCTGACCACATTTCCCCCAGCACCTCATCCACCACCAAAGTTCACAATTTTATTTTTTGTTAAACTGCTCCTAAGCGCGGTGACTCTAAAGTCAAGTTCCTGCACCTTCTTGGCTCTTTCGGTAAAGTCACGTAGAAGGGAAAAAAAACATAATAAAATAAAAAATATTTATTTTTATTTTATTTTTTATTGTTTTTTCCCCCTTCTATGTAACTTTACCGAAAGAACCAAGAAGATGAATCCCTGCAGTCACGAAAGCTATAAATCGAAATTTAAGTTGCGAGAGCGCTCGTTTGCGTTTGTTTTGCAACTCTTTCACTGGGGCCTTGGCATGCGATTGTTTTAAACGTATTTGAAAACTGAAAAGAAATGTACTTCCTCTTATCACGTGACGACAATGCGCTTTGTAATCGATGTGTTTGGTAGGTTTATGCGTTTCTCGCAGGATGCGGTTTTACACAGGTTGTCGTTTAGTTATTGCCTTCAATAAATCTGCTACGAGGCAACACTTTTGACCTTCTCACGCCTTGTTTTTTGAAGTGAGTACACTCCCATGATTACGAACGCATCCAACTGTGGTACAATGAGGTACCAGTGGGAAACTATAACAAGTAGATTCCTGACTTGCCTACATCGCACCGTTTGAGAATTATTACTCGGTATTTGCGGGGTTTATCCGGAACATCCAGATTGCTCCTACATGGAATCTGACATTGAATTGCCACAAATCTGGGTCTTTGATTCAAGAATCTAACTTAGTTTTTTTTTCTCTCTCTAATTTGTAGTTGCATTCGCTCTTATTAGATTTCATTGTAACACTTGCACGCAACTTCTCGAACTTCTCATTGATTTCCCTGTATACAATTCGATACATATACAATGTAAAGGTGCTCATCTTCTTGGTTCTTTCGGTAAAGTCACGTAGAAGGGAAGTAATAAAATAATAAAAATGAAACATAATAAAATAATTATATTTAAAGCTTCCGTGACTGCAGGGATTCATCTTCTTGGTTCTTTCGGTAAAGTCACGTAGAAGGGAAGTAATAAAATAATAAAAATGAAACATAATAAAATAATTCTCACGACGTTTCGGCCACAACGCAAGCAGCCGTCTTCAGGTGGAGAACAGGTCTGTCAAGTAGACAGAGTCCTGTTCTCCACCTGAAGACGGCTGCTTGCGTTGTGGCCGAAACGTCATGAGAATTTTTATTATTTTATTACTTCCCTTCTACGTGACTTTACCGAAAGAACCAAGAAGATGAATCCCTGCAGTCACGAAAGCTTTAAATATAATTATTTTATTATGTTTATTTTTATTATTTTATTATTTCCCTTCTACGTGACTTTACCGAAAGAACCAAGAATATGAATCCCTGCAGTCACAAAAGCTTTAAATATAATTATTTTATTACGTTTATTTTTTATTATTTTATTGTTTCCCTTTTACGTGACTTTACCGAAAGAACCAAGAATATGAATCCCTGCAGTCACGAAAGCTTTACATCGAAATGTAAAGGTACTGCCCTGTAACTGCCCGCTCACACCACTGCTGGCGGAAGGACCTCCACTGGAACGGAGCTCGAGAGAACCTCTCTAGAGGGTATTTGGCCTACTCTTCCAGGAAGGTGTGGGAGAACCCACGTTTTAGCCTACCACACCCCACGGCCTGCCGATCGACTAATCGGTGAACCCATTTACAATGCTGGGGGGTGGGGGATTTAAGAAACTGGCACCGTTTTTTTAATATAAATTAAATCGCGACGTTTCGATCGCAACACAAGTGCCCGTCATCTGTATCTGTTCCACCTGATGACGGTCGCTTGTGTTGCAATCGAAACGTGATTTATTTTTTACCTACGTGACTTTACGAAAAAACCAAAGAGTATGGATCCCTGCAGTCACGAAAACTTCAAATCAAGATTGAACCGTTATTTTAATTCATACCAGGGGATCGAACCAGTGTGACCTCTGTATTTAAAGTCCAGCGTGCTTATCATGACACCATGGCAGTATCCCTGTGAGCATTTGAATTGATGTTAATTGATGAGCATGACTAGAATGCTAAGAAACTGGGTTACTACAATAACAGGACAGAGTGCAACTCAATAAGTGCATTTAATATTGTGCCACTACCACCGCTATACGGAATATCTGGTGTATTTACAAGTGCGCGTCACATTTAAAATCGCTCGTTTATTATTGAAACTACTCAAGTGCGACTGTTACTGGTAGGAACCTCCTGGTTCCACCAGCCCACAGGGGATTATTGTGTCCGTCCGTCGTGCATCCAAAAATGGAAGGGGTGGGGCTGGGTGGAGTGGGGAGGGTGGGGAGGGTGGGAGGGGTGGGGAGGGGTTGGTCACCCCGTAGTGCCCTTATAAAACTCAACGTTTAACCTACTCACGCCGGCTTGTGCCCACCCTCACAGTCGGCTATATTTGCGGAATACACCACGCCGCCGTTGACCCTGGCCATTGACCGAGCAACCCAACGTTCCTACCAGCTCCCTCCGCAGGACAATGTGTTCATCAGAGCCGAGTTAACAACCGTTTCATTACAGTATTACCAATGACTAAAACCCGACTACTGTGCGTGGTTTTACTCTCGCTTAATTGTTCTCAAGACGCGACTGGCAATCATCACTGCCGTCATCGCAACGCTCTTCATCAGTTTGCCTTCACTGTCGTGCCTGCACACGATCGTCGATAGGGGGGATTGTTCAGCAATGTGATTTTCAAAATAGAATGCAGCAGGCTGGGGTGGCTTCTTCGCCTCGTGGCCAAATCTGCCCCCCCCCCCCCGGCATGCATGCGCATCATCCAGGGTTCAACTCGATTGAGAGTTTTGACCCGGCAACCACAGGGATTGTAAGGCTTCTGTGGGGGTGGGGAGGGGGCACATTGCACTGGCCGTGCGGCATTATCCATTGCTGTCCTTATACAGGAACTCCTCTACTTACGTACGAGTTAGGTTCCAGAGGTATGTTCGTAAGTCGATTTGTTCGTAAGTCCAACTTTATTCCTGTCGATTCTAAACGTGTTGTACGGCGTGTACACTAAACACGGGGAATGGCTTTAAAAGTTGTATAATCTCCTGTAGATGTAGATGCCACTGGTTCTTCACGTTCTGTAGATGTAGATGCCACTGGTTCTTCACGTTCTGTAGATGTAGATGCCACTGGTTTTTCACGTTCTGTAGATGTAGATGCCACTGGTTCTTCACGTTCTGTAGATGTCGATGCCACTGGTTATTCACGTTCTGTAGATGTAGATGCCACTGGTTTTTCACGTTCTGTAGATGTAGATGCCACTGGTTCTTCACGTTCTTGTAGATGTAGATGCCACTGGTTCTTCACGTTCTGCAGATGTAGATGCCACTGGTTCTTCACGTTCTGCAGATGTAGATGCCACTGGTTCTTCACGTTCTGTAGATGTAGATGCCACTGGTTCTTCACGTTCTGTAGATGTAGATGCCACCACCGCCATCTATTGCGCGGCGGTTGAACTTACGATCTCGGTCCGAACAGGCGACTGGACATACGGACAGCTTTGTTCGTATCTCTGAAAGTTCGTAAGTAGAGTGTTCGTAAGTAGAGTATTCTCTGTAGGCACTATGTTTCAACATCTGTGCACCCCCCCCCCCCCTTGCCTTCGATCCACACTTGACCGATGTGGTGGAGGTATGGGTCAGATAATCCGCATAGTGTCGGGGTAGTCTCTCGTCCAGGAGTGATTTTTTTTATATATAGAAGCAGGGGTTCTGTCTGTTAACACACAACACGTGGGTGCGCCTGATCCGGTTTCTTCGGCAGAAAGAGCTCGCCGAGATGTTGATTATCGGGAGAATCTATTCGTATTTCTCGCTTTGAAACAAATAAAAACGCTTTATTCTAGTCGGCTTCACGGCCCGTCGTCCAGTGGCGTGCGGTTCGCGTGTCCCCGTGATCGCGACAATGCTCAACCATCCCGTGATACGCAATAACTTTACAGGCGAGAAAGATGATAGAATTCATGAATGAATGCAGGCAGCGTCATTCCCGGGCAGATGTGTATATGTGCAACATGCATATAATAATGACAATACAAGCACCGAGTATTGTAGTTACATTAAAAGGTTAAAATGCAGCCCAACAATTGCTTGGCTCGTGCCACTGCTTCACGGAATGGCCTCGACGAGAGAAAGCGTCGAGAGAGGCCCTCCAGAAAGTATTTGGCCTACTCTTCCACGCTGGCCAGACGTCTTGGAAGAGATGGGAGTAGTGCCCACACTTCACCCCACCACCACCACTTGACGTGCCGATCGTTTAACATTCGATAGGTGGCGGCATGGTCGCATGGGGCCACAGCTGAACCACTGCTTCTGCTTCCCAAACAATGCTCAACTTTCACAAAAAAAACAAAGATCCCACCCCCCGTATAGCCTTCACAGAATGTTGGGGGAAGTGCTGTTAGTGAGCAACTATGAAGACCAGGACGGCACACAAAGGAGTGGGGGGAGGCCAACACCACCCCCGGCCGCCTTTGTCTCCCCAGTGGCGACGTTTACACCGCACCAGATACTCATTTTAGGCCGAGTCGACCTAGGAAAGGCCCAGGAACGGTTCAGATAATCGTCACCGGTGTTGGCCCGTGAGCGGCAATCGAGCCCGGGTCGCCGGGTTCGTAGCGCAGCGCGCTAACCGCTACCCGCTCGCTACCTGCAACGTCCGTGCCAAATGTGTCACGCAGCATCTACGCACTTGAATTCCCTGCCCGTAACGCTAATCTCAACACACGTGGCTATGATGAGTCTGTGGGTTGGTATCGCAATGATCCATCATGAGATGATCAAAATTGAATTGCTTCGGAAGACTGTAACTTAAAGGAGGAGAGAGTGGGGGGGGGGGGGGTACAGCGATGGAAACTCGTGACGATGCGAGAACGAAGGGGAATTGCAAGACAATGAAATTACAACTTACCCCTCCCACCTTGTCGGTGAAGAGATGTTAACTATCTCGGCCTTGTATACACGAAGTCATGGGTTCGATCCCAACCCCTGACTCCTGTTGTATATTTGGAGTTTTGCGTGTCTCTCTCCCCGTGGTCGTGTTGATTTTTCTCCGGGTCCTCCCGATTTTTGCCCTCCACATTTGGAATCAACATCACGCGTTTAAGAGTATTTTTTAAATCCTTTATATTAAGTTCACTTGCTTGCTTAGGGCCGTGCAAATGTTTAGGTCGTTTTTTTAACCCACTTCCCGTGATCCAATCGAGCTGACATTTTGCACACAGACTCGTTGTGCGAGACAATTAATGTTCGTGAATTTTTTTTCCCAAAATTTTATACTTTTTAGGACAAAAATATTATATTTAATTACCAATTGCTTAATGGTGCAATGCAATCATCTGACCCATAGGTGGCAGCCATCTCAAGCCAGAGGACGAGAGGACTCTCGCCGCCACGCATATAAAGGATTTATAGTGAAAAACTTTGTTTTTACGGGTTAATTTTTTTTTGGCTGCTGTACATTTT